ATGAGGTACAAGGAGTATTTAGACTCCTTTTTTTATTTTTAAGGCCGACTAATGTCCTATCCAGTAAAGTTTCCATTGATTAGTAGAAAGTTATTAATTTAATTTATAGTCTAAAATTAAAACAAGATAAATGTAATTATATTAAATATTTAGAAATTTTTTTTCTTAATCATATTTAACTTTAATATAATTATCTTTTATGATATATTTGTAATATGTAAAAAATAATAATTTATGTATTACACCAATATTTATAAATATCGATGAAATACATAGAACTGTAAATTAAAAAATAATTAATAATATTTTTTGTTATAAAAAGCAAAATATATCATTTTAAATTTGAAAATATAAAAAATTAATTTAATTGATAAAATTTTTTGTCTAGTAACTTTTTTATCATTAATTTATAAATACTGACTTTCAATTAAATATATTTTATTATTAATTAAAAATCATAAGACTATTATATCAAATTGAATAACTACATTGTAGATGAAAAAAAAAATGTTCACTTCCTTAATATAAAAAGTTCAGAAAATATATGTATTACAAAACAAGAAATACGCTCGATTGTGATAAAAGAATATTTATAGAAAACATGTCGCTCTAACAAATGAACATTTAGATTTATTCTAGAGATAAATAAAATATATAACATAAAAATGTAATTTTTATCTATGTAATTGAAGTAACACGAATTCAAATAAAATGTTCTATATTATATACTCTAAAAAAATTTGTCATTTATTAACAACTTTTTTTGTCCATATAAATCTTAAAAATTTATACTGAAAAATAATGTATTATACTAATATTTAATATATTAATATTTTTAGTAACAAAGTATTTGTTATTATAATATAATATATTGTTAGTATAAATCTTTAAAATTTATATTAACCTTTTTTTTATTAAATAAAGACTATAACAACAAAAATTATCTTAATACTTAATAATTTCTAGAAACAAGTTTATAAAGTGGTAAGTATTTGATAAAAAAAAATTAGGATTATGATACATTTTGCACATATCTTTAACAATAATATTGAATAATGAAACTTACTCTTGATATTTTCATCAACCTATATTTAAATATAATTTTTAAAAAACGATTGTATTTTTTCTCAAACTAACTAGTAATTGGTGTGCTGCATGCTTGCATGCATCTATCAACCAAGGTCTGGTGCGTGGAACAACGACGTCGATCTTAATTGCCCCCATCTAACTTTGATTGCACTCAAACGTGAAAACCAACACCACCCATTCTATCCCTTTCTGGTCCATATATTCTTTTTGATATTATCACAATTCAAATTCATTTTCTGCTCAACTTTTTAACCATCTTAATTATTTAAGAGTAATATTATATTTGCTTTTTCCATTTTATTTACTATTTTTCTTGATTTTTTTAAAATAAGCATTAAACAAAAAATTTAATATATTTTTAACATATTAAAATATAATATGCATTTACCTCTTATTCTTAATAAATAAGACAGTTTGTAGAAAAATATTATAAAATTTCTTATTCAATTAGCTGAGTTCTTATTCGTCTATAGCCAGTGCCATCTAGGCAATCTTCTGATCATTGTTTTGCCGTATTTATTGGCAACAGTGGCAACAGGTGTCTCTCATGGGTTACTTAGTTGTTTGAATAAAAATGTTATATTCATTATATGAATTTAATTAGAATGTATTAGTAACATATTTGTTTATATCATCATTATATAATATATTATTATAAAATTAAAAATTATTATTTTTACAATAATTATTATAAATATTATAAGGTAAATTTTAATTAATTATTAGTATACTTTTTTATATCAGCAATATATCAAAAATATATTTTAATTTTAATTTTTTATAAATAATTATTAAAATTTATAAATTATAAAAATATCTTCTTCTTTTTTATATGAAGATTCAGTTACTTAATCATTTATAATTAGGTCAATCCGACCCAACTTAATTCATTTTATTTTAATTGGATTGGATACTTTTTTTTTTCTTAAGTTGAATCTAATTTAGCCTATGAACACCTTTACAAATAAATGTTTGTAAATTTTAATTTACTTATTTTAAAAAACTACGATGAAGTCCTTAGTTGCTTTTGCTTACAAGTTATTCCTATATAGAACTCAAGGCAAAGAAAAGGGCTCAACCTAGAGGAAGAAGGACTATAGTATAATAACTTTTTAAAAAGTCTATTTAAATTAAACCTATATTTTAATTGTTAATAATAATAAATAGTATATAATTATATTTCTAGCTTATTTAAACAAGTTCACATCATTATTCTTAAAAATATAACAATTATCAAGTTAAAAATGAAAAACTGATGGAGGACAATTTTCACTGCATGCATTAAGAATTTGGCGTCCGAGCAGGGAACAAGGTCAATATCTTATTTTTGTATGGAGTTAGGAGGGCAAGACCAATTTATTTATTCATTTTTTTCGATGTTGCTTCTCTCTCTCTCTTTTAATTTTAGTTTATGTATATACAACAAAATAGGATTAGAAAATCAAAATTTAAAAATAAATAAAAGTTTTTTTATTAAATTGAGTTGAGTGGATGGTGAACAAAACATGTTTTTTCTAAGCAACAAAGCAAATTGACTCCAAAATAAAAATAATAGCTTACTGCATATATAAATAGAGGCTTTGTTGATTACATGTATAAACCAAATCAAGTCAGTTAGTCCATTTTTATTTATATGTTTGGATTATTTAAACTAAATTAATAAAAAATGATTTATGCTAATTTGAGTGTTAGTTTATTGATTCGAATTCAATGAGCATTTTGATATAAACATTATTTTTATATAGTTATATGCACAACACAATATCATTTTTCCAAATAAACTATTATCTATCTAGTCAAATAAAACGTTTTTTCTGATTCTTTTATTTATTTATGTTAATAATAAGATCAGTTTTTGTCTTAAAAAAAGAATTATTTGAATAAATTAAATTTTAGTAAATATAATTTGTAAACACAAATTTAATGAGATCTAATTACATAAATTTAAAATATCAATTGAAAAATAATTTGTAAAGTCACTTACATGTTGTAGACATCTCTTAATCCTAGATTTTTAATGGGACAAACCTAGATAGCAATAAAATGTGTTACCGTGACGATAAAAGGACTTAACCACTATATTTATTAACCTTAGGCACTTCCTATCATGGGCTTAGAGGTTAAGCCTACACTGAATTTTACTCTAAATCAACATTAAGTGTCTAAAGACCAAATAATTATTACATTATTAGCGGACTTAAATATTATCAAATGGATCACAATATTAATATTTTTTTGACAAAATAAAAATCATAATTGATTATAGCTCATAATAAATCTTATAAGAAATTCTAATATAATTGTCTTAATATTTAAAGTGAGAGAGTTTTATTATTAATAATAATTTTATTATAAAAAAAATAAAAAAACACCTTATGCAAGAAATAAATTCTTATTATATATATATATATATATATATAATAATGTCATTCATCTTTATATAATTATATAATAATGTCATTCATCTTTATATAATTATATAATCGAAATTAATACTTCTTGCCTCTATCACTTTCGCTAAATTAACATTACAAACACACACATATATATAAAACGAAGGGTGCCCAATAAAAATTGTTTAATGCATGAAAGTTGTGTGGCAGCCTGTAATACTGATGACTAATGACTAATGACATTGATGCGTTCTTCAAGGCTTCAACCACTCCAACTAACAAATTTCAATTGTATAAACTACCAACGCTATCCATCTTCAGATACTCCAAAACTACTCTCTCATAGTCCACTTTCAATAACTTGTCTAATATTTAATTTAATATCAATGTCCATCAACATGAGGCTTGCCCCTCAATGCATAAATCATTTTATATATTAATTGCCCGAGCATTAATGCAATCTTTTATGGATTTTGTTAGCATTCGTAAATAAAAATATGTATTTGTTATATAGAGATTATAAAAGTACAATAAATGTTTTTTTAATTAGTTTTATTATTATTAGTAACTTATTCTCTCTTTTTTTTCATTATAAAACCGACATAATAATGTTACTTAAACACAAAATATTAGTGGTTTTAGATAATTAAATTATTATTTAATAATTTATTATCTTATTACATGTGTTGACTTTTGACTTAACAAAAACAAGGGGCTATTTTCTGTTGAGACCGACCAACCAAAAATGTAACGCAATAAAGAGGGGCTGGTAATCGAACTTAAACCAATTTATATACTTGTTTTAGACCCGTGTGCCTTTGTCCCCTACCCATCAAAACACTGCAGCCTACCTCAACTACATTTGACAAATTAACATTAAGTATCGCTGTTGCTTTTAAAAAAATTCATTTTTACATTAATGATTTGTTAATCAATTTTTTAAAAAATCAAACAATTTCCTTTCCCGAAAAACTGTTAACCAAACGTTTGACAACTGGTTAAATTTAATGGTTTATCCTGAATCTATAAGAAAAATACATTATAAGATCAACGTTACTCTCATTTTATTTTAAATTCTTAGCAATTTAAACATGGTTTAGTAGTATATGTACTCAAAATTTTGGATGAAAATTTGTTCTATGATATAATCAGTAAAGGGTGTGTAAGGATGTATATATAGAATCTCTTTTAAGCATGTATTTTTATTATTAGATAAATTAGTATTTATAAATTCCACTTAAAAATTGTCCTATTTGTTAATTGGACTTATATAAAATGTATTTGATGATATATACATTTTATAGTGTGTGTAAGGATACATTGACTGCGTCTATTTTAGCGGAATAGACGAAGACGGCAACGTGAATCAATGAGCACAAGTTTTTCACTCAACCCACACAGCCATTGCATGATAAAGGGCAAAACTGTAATTAAACAACTCAATCCATTATCCAAGGTCAAATCCGTAATTTGATGTTGCACCGTCAACATTTAAAGCGAAACGCTCCCATACTCTCCACTCTCGCGCGCTCTCTGTAATAACACTTCACAGCTGTCACGCCGTAACAGAAAATGGCAACGGCGATACCCAAACGTAACTTCCCGTCGATAACCGAACGCAACGGAACGACGTCGTCACTGTCGCCGCGCGAGTCAATCGCTGCTGACCTCGACGGCACGCTTCTCATCTCCCGGAGCTCCTTCCCCTACTTCATGCTTGTCGCCGTCGAAGCGGGAAGCCTCCTCCGTGGCTTCCTTCTCCTTCTTTCAGTTCCATTCGTCATCTTCGCGTACCTCTTCGTCTCCGAAGCACTAGGCATCCAGATCCTCATCTTCATCTCCTTCTCCGGCCTCAAAATCCGCGACATCGAACTCGCCTCACGCGCCGTGCTTCCTAGGTACGCAACTCGCTCTCTCTTGCTCCGCTTAGTCTCCTCGTGTTTCGATTTGTTCTGAGAGTGCGCGTGCAGGTTTTACGCTGCGGACGTGAGGAAGGAGAGCTTCGAGATGTTCGATCGGTGCAAGAGAAAGGTTGTGGTGACGGCGAACCCGACGGTGATGGTGGAGCCGTTCGTGAAGGACTTTCTCGGCGGAGACAAGGTGCTAGGAACGGAGATCGAGGTGAATCCGAAGACGAAGAAGGCTACGGGGTTCGTGAAGAAGCCTGGTGTGTTGGTCGGAAAGTTGAAGCGTTTGGCGATTTTGAAAGAGTTCGGCGAGGATTCGCCGGATATAGGAATCGGAGATCGTAAATCTGATCATGATTTCATGTCTATTTGCAAGGTTTGGCTTCTACTGATCACTGTTAGTATTTTTTAATGTTAATTATGTGTTAATTAGTAGATAATAATTGTTAATGTTATGTTAAATGGGTGTAGAGGTGTGTGTGTATATAATATATATATATATATATATATATATATATATATATATATATAACATGCATTTTATATCTTAATTAATTTGAGTATTTTGTTGATCACTAATTAAGTTATCTTTAAGATGTAAAAGTTTAAATATATAAATATCGTTACCAATTATAAATTGTGAAAAGTTATTAAGATTTGGCAACTGTATTTTCTATCATGGCATTGTATCAAATTTCATTATCACGTTGTACTAATAGTTTATAAAATAATAAAGAAAAATCAAAGTGTTATGCAAATTCATAATATTCTTTTAAAACCTTATTCATTTATTTTAACGGGTTTGTTAACAACACTCGTGGGATTTATTTTAAGTATTTAAAAATGATAAATTTTATTAAAAAATATATGTATGATAAATATAATAAATATTTATTTTTAATGAAATTTTAATGATTTTAAATATTTAAATTTTTTTGTAAGAGTCGAAATAACATTTCTTTTAAATATAAATTGTTAAGCCAAAACTGACAGTGAGGGCCAATTTTCTTGAATAGCTTCATGGAACTGTTGAAAAGCACATTCTAATGTATTTTACTTGATTGAGTGAAATTAAAAAGGGTCTGATTGATGGATAATAGAAGAATAATACGCGTAGGGTAATTACTTAGAAGACATTTGTTTGTTTTATTTATATCACGCGCGAATCATGCATTAATTGCGTGCGTGTTGTGTAATGGATGATATAAGTTAATTGCAATATGTACTACATGATAATGCACAGTATATATGTAAAATATTATAGGTAGATATATAGATTAGAAAACCTAAGAAGATTATGTCTAATATAAACTGTGTCATGTGGTGTGCTCGAGTCTTGACAGTGGTGGGCGATGGTGGGGTTGACATACAGGGGCAGGATCAATGGCGGGATCGGGGGGCATGAAGGAAGGTGCATTAACTTTCTACGGTTGAGTGTAAATGCATGCATTTTCTTTTTCTTTTTCTTCCATTGTCTCCCATCCAGGAATTGTAAATGTAGTCCACAATTATAACGCAGTGGGACCCACCGTATTAACCATCCCCAGCTAACTACCAGTGCCAGCATAAGCTTTATGTGGTCCATATATTTCTATCCGGTTTTAAATCATGGTTTAATGCAGCCACGATCCATTCACATTTCATACTTCTTAAGTAGGAAGCTGCTACCTAAAAATTTCCTCTTAGTAAATGCACTCATGGTTTCAGAACTCACCCACCCAAAACCGCGACCAAGTTGCTCCCTCATCATGCATGAAGTTGACCCAAGAAGGATAAAATTCCCCCACAAAGAAAAGGTGGATAAGGAATAACTGAATGTCAACCCGCTTTGTCAATCCAATCTTGATTCGCCTATTAGTGATACAATCTTCATTGTTGAACCACACTGATTACACTTCCATAATTCATCTCACATTACTTATAGCATCATAGCACTATCATAAAGTTTTGGTTCATTTATTGACTTACCCTTTAAAATATTTTCTTGAATAATGTTAGGGTAAAGAAAGTTTGTTTTTCTTTACGGCATAAATAACTTTATTTTAGATAGGCCAATAAAATATTATCTATAAAGTTAACAAGAAAGTTAATATAACTATTAATATAATATTTTAATTTATTATTTTTCTTAAAATAATATTAGTATTTTATAGTGATTTCAAAAAAATACCTGATATTATATTTCTATAGTTAACTTCTCACAAAACCTTTTTATGTCACAAATTTATATAATCATAATTATTTATCACACTTTTTTTATTTACCTCTTTTTTCTTCATTTTTCTTTTCTTTTTTCCCTTTCCAATGCAAATAGTGTTTGTCTAAATTATTTTATATCTTATAGGATACATTGTATTAAATATTATCTTAAATTTTTATTTAATATTTTATAAATAAAATCTCAATAATCAAATTAAAATAGAGTTATTTATGTCATGAGATAACTTGCATGTAGCTGTGGAAGAAACATGCCATTAAACAACAATACACTTAAAACGTTATTTTTTAAAACGAAATGTTGATAATATATTTTTTATTATTGGTTGAAATTTAATACAAATTATAAATTACGTAGATTTTACTTTTTATTTAATAAATTTTAATTGTAATTTTTAAACAATTAACTAATAAGTAAAAATATATTGAAGAATATATTGCTAGTCGTGGCAGCTCTCCTTTTAATCTCATTTGTATGTATCATCATTTGTATTACAAATTGTGATCTAAGAAGAATGATAAAAAACTGATTAACAGGAGGGGTTCATGGTGCATCCAAGCAAATCAGCCAAACCAGTCCCACAAGAGCGTCTGAAGAGCAGGTTGATCTTCCACGACGGGCGTTTCGTCCAGAAGCCAGACCCACTAAACGCCATAATCACCTTCACATGGCTCCCCTTCGGCTTCATCCTCTCCATCATAAGGGTCTACTTCAACCTCCCTCTCCCCGAACGCATCGTTCGCTACACCTACGAAATGCTCGGCATTAAACTCATCATCCGCGGCCAACGTCCTCCGCCACCCTCTCCGGGCACCCCCGGCAACCTCTACGTCTGCAACCACCGCACCGCTCTCGACCCCATCGTCATCGCCATCGCTCTCGGCCGCAAAGTCTCCTGCGTCACCTACAGCGTAAGCAAGCTCTCCCGCTTCCTCTCCCCCATCCCCACCGTGGCCCTCACGCGCGACCGTGCTGCCGACGCTGCACGCATCACTGAGCTCCTCCAAAAGGGTGACCTTGTGGTGTGCCCAGAGGGCACCACGTGTCGCGAACCCTTCCTTCTCCGCTTCAGTGCTCTCTTTGCTGAGCTCAGTGACAGGATCGTGCCTGTTGCCGTTGATTGCAAGCAGAACATGTTCTTTGGGACCACCGTTCGTGGGGTCAAGTTCTGGGACCCTTACTTCTTCTTCATGAATCCTAGGCCTGTTTACGAGGTTACCTTCCTTGACCCTTTGCCGGAGGAGATGTCGGTCAAGGCCGGGGGAAAGACGTCCATTGAGGTGGCCAATCACGTGCAGAAGGTGTTGGGTGATGTGTTGGGGTTTGAGTGCACCGGGTTGACTAGGAAAGATAAGTATATGTTGCTGGGAGGGAATGATGGGAAGGTGGAGTCCATGTACAGTGCAAAGAAGGGATGATGAGGTAAGGGTTTTGTTGTTATGAGTATGAGATGTGGGAAGTGATTCAATTGAAGATTTGGGTGAGTGAGGAAAGGATTTTGCTTTTGTTTGATTGTTTTGGGAGTTTATTGATATAGAAATAGTTTAGCTAGCTGGCAAATAGCAATTTGTATTTTTGGTTAACCCCTTTTGAGATGGGGTTTTGTTATGGATTATTAATGATTTTAAGTGTTTTAGCACGTTATTGCAAACTTTTTATACATGTTGTCACTTAATTTTTGGGACACTCATCCGTTACAGACTTACAGTTTTCCATTGCACCTCTAATTAATACTTGATTTATCGACTAAGTATTTTTATGCGAACAGAAGGTGGAAGATTGTTAATTACAATGAATTAGTATTTGGGAAGCAAGATGAGTTTTAGCCATTTTTAAAACAATAAGTTTTATAAATTTTCACAGCAAGCAAACCAATAAAACAATGACGGAGGATATTGATTGAAACCCAGCTGAGTTAATCCACATAATTTTTGAATAAAAGGTAGCTTGTTAATGCAAGTCCTAATTGACACTTCAGTTGACCTACAAAATAAATATTATCATCGTTGAAAACAATAACATGTATATCAATATCTATTATAAGTAATAACTACCGGTCTCTATTCGGTTAGTTATTATAAAATATTTATGTTTTTAATTTAATTTAAATATTTCAGTAATTAATATAAATATTATTAAAAATAGGTAAATTTTTTTAAATTAGAGTTAGAGTTAGAAAGGTACTTATAATAACATTATAATAAACATTAAAAGAATAACACGGATACTGATGTATATATAATTTTGGTTGGATGAAAACTAAAAAAACAAGAAAATAAATATTTTTTAGAATTTTTTCTATATTTTTAATTTGTTTTATTTTATTTTTCTTTTCAGTTACTCTCCTTCCATCATATCGAACAGAAGCTTAATTTAAATAAATTTTCAGTCAATAAAATATTTTTTGAATAAACTAAAATATCTTACTAACCGTGAACTAAATAAATCTGGCCTTTCCTATCTCCAAAAGCGAAGTGACAATGGACTTTTGACGTTGTACGAAAGAAGAGCAGAATATTCCAGGCATGACTATGAAAATACCATCATTTTCTAAAGATTTTTTAAGAAAGGAAATCACGAACAAGAATAATAAATTAATAAAAATAATAATGATTATTAGTATGATTGTTACAATTTTTTACACTTTATTATGAATACGAAAAAAGGGAAAGCACTTTTGGTTTAGTTCTGTCACCTCCAATCCAACCGTACAACAGCCGATATCCACGTCCTGAGGAGGGGCATCGCAGCAATTTTAATTAATTATTGAAAGAAATGATAATAACACATTTTTAACATAATATTTAAAACATATTTTTATTATTAATTAAAATTATAGAAATTTATTATTAATTTAATAAATCTTATTTATGTTTATATTTTTATAAAATTTTAAATAATAATTAAAAATATAACAAAATATATATTTAACAATTTTAGTAATTATTTAATTTTGTTAATTCTAATTTTAAATATGGATTTTAAAAATTTAAAAATATTTATCATAATTTTTAAATAAATACTAATAATTTTTATATTTTAATGTAATAAATATTTTCAAAATAAAAATTTAGTACTTTTAAATGTTTAAATTTGATTTTTAAAATTGAGATGAATGAAAATAATTTATTGATTTCAATCCTTAAAATTAAATTTAGGTAAATAAAAATAACGTTTATTATTAATTATTTAAATTCAGCTCTAAAATTAATATTTTTAATATTTACTGGGCGGAGGATGACATACCACGTGTCACACTCTGAATCCTCCTTTCTCTTGGTTACAACGTCACTGGGACTTTCTTTATTTTTATTTTTATTCCTCAAAAACACGTCAAATTAAAATAAAAAGTGAAAATAGTTGACGGTTGGAAACACAGAGAGAAAGAGGTTCTGTGCTTTGGCTTTGCTTATCCTCTGAGAGTGAGAGGAAACAGAGCATAGCAAAGTAAGAGTCTCCACTCAAGACGACGTCGTCTTCTGCTCTTCAAACATTCCACTCTCAGATGTTGTAACGCTTTAGCATCACCAATGGCTATGAGTGCTTTCATTTCCAATCGCAACTTCGCTTCATTCGTTGCCTCAGGTTCGCTCTCACTTCCTCTTTTTCTATTTTTCGGTGCCTAAATGCATTTTCATGAATTTTCTATTTCTGAATATGCTTCGATTTGTTTTAGTCGTTAATTCATATTCTTTTGTTACTGTTGAAAGCTTTATAGTACGTAATTCAGTCTGAAGGCGTATGTTTTAGTGAATTTATATGATTTTAGTGACAAGGATTTAGGTCAGAGACTTAATAATTTTTATTTTCATGGACTAATCTATTAATTTTACTATTTATTCTATTTTTTTAAATATTAAGTTTGCTATTTATTCATTTTTTATAATATTTCCATAATAAGAAATGGAGATTTTGGTATGACATAAGCCCACTTTGAATAAACTTTTTCAATGAGTACTTGTAGAGTCAAACATTAAGCAGTAAAATAAATGAAACTTTCATTTGAAGTTAAAATCAACTTATGTTTTTCTATTTTTATAGAAGCTCTCTCCTTAAACTTCTCTAAAACTTGATAAGTTCTTTTTATCTTATAAAAGAAGTTTTATATGTTTTTTATGTTGATTTTCTTTTCATATAAGTACTTATTTAGAAGCTTTCTCAAATTAGGCTATAGTATCTTGCTAGCCAGTGCCTAAAGTTATTGGTTAAAGAAATAATTTTTTTATTAGAATCACATTGGGGTGAATTATAATGTTGTAATAACACTTTATAATAAATAAAATTGCTATATTTTATTGCTTAACCAATGCCTTATTGGTTAACATTTGCCACGTGCATGCATGCAGCCCCCACACACAGATATGTTAAGTTGGATGTTTGTTTGGTTCTCTTGAAAGTTTCTGAGCTTGAATTATTTTGATGATTATTGTAAAAAATGAGATAAGTTTTAGCCATTGTTTGATATTGGCAGGAAATGTATACAGATCAGGAAAGGATATATCTGTTCAAAGAGGGGGGATTTCTATTTCTGGTGTATCTGGTGCAAAGGATCCTTTCTCAAGATGCCAGCATATGATGTATTTCCCTTTGGAAGGGAGAGTTTCAAAACCAATGCCAATGTCTCACAACAAAGGAGAGCATTGTTCTCTTGCATCCTGGCAGTCCAGTCAATGCTTGAATTTTAAACTAAAGGCCAGCAGTCAATGTTCTGTCCTTTCTTCAGCTTCTTATAGAAGTAACTATGTTGAACAAGGGGAGGTCTATAGACTAGGTTTGAGCAAAAGAAAGCACCCACAAACTGAGGTTGGTAATGCTAATAAGTTTCGTGTTTGTTACAAGTCTGAGGAGTATGACATTGCAGAAGCAAAGATGGAATCGCTGCAATCAACTGAAGGGACTGGTGAAGCCATTCTTCTGGAAGGAAATCTACAACAAGTATCCCCTTGGTGGCAGCAGTTTCCTAAGCGCTGGGTTATTGTACTGCTGTGTTTTACAGCATTTCTGTTGTGTAACATGGATCGTGTGAGTAACTTTTTTCTTCTGGTATCTATGGTTTCGGTTATGCTGTTATTATATATTCATGTATTCCATATATCATATTTCAATAGGTTCCTGCTGTCATATTCAATCGACAGTCCTTGTGTAGTGTCTAGTTACTCGATACTAAAAAAATAAGGTGTTCAGTTGATCACTAATCCTGGTAGCTTTATTTATTTATTTTTTCTATCAACAAACTAAAAATAGAAAAGATCATATCTCCTTCTGTAGCTGAGATATTGATTTTTGAAAAAGAAAAGTCTGGAATTTGAGTTACTGTTTTCCCTATTCTACCTTTGTTTTTGCAGAAGTTAATATTAGGCTTTTTCCTCCACTTATATCAAGGATTTTTATTATTTTAATTAATTTTTTCTAAATTTCCATATTCTTACTAACCTAATGTTTCTAATGTTCCTTGCTGATATACTTTGCATTTTCATTATATTTTGTAGGTAAATATGAGCATAGCAATACTTCCAATGTCACAAGAATTCAACTGGAACAGTGCAACAGTTGGTGTGATTCAATCATCTTTTTTCTGGGGTTATCTCCTTACTCAGGTGTGACCAGTATACACAAAACATGTTAGCTTAACAATAAATTGGTATTATATTTTAATCTTCAAACAAGCGTTTGAGTACCACTGCTGGCTGAACCTGCCATAACATATAGCCGTTCATGCTTGTAATCTAGTGCTTTTCTATCTTTGAACTGTCTCTTCATTCCATCCAGTATAGATTAAAGCTTCTATTTTGATTTCATATTGACTGAATGCCTTTTCATTTTAGATTGTTGGAGGCATATGGGCAGACAAACTTGGTGGTAAGCTAGTACTAGGTTTTGGAGTTGTCTGGTGGTCAATTGCAACAGTTTTAACACCTATTGCTGCAAGACTTGGATTGCCATGTCTGCTTATTATGCGTGCCTTTATGGGGATTGGCGAGGTTGGTCCATTCTATAGCTATACTGCTTTTATTTCTTCATGTATCTGGCGTCCATATCATATAGCCAGTTTTTATAAGGAATTTCAGGTAGAAAAAATTGTTCCTGTTCTCCTAGTCTTTAAGCAAAAAGGAAGACATGAAAAAGTATCCTAAGAGCATACTTAGTTCTCGCTGACCACCCCACCCCCCCCTGGAAAAACAAGTCTCTGAAAGTGATATAGAAATAAAAAGATACATAGTTGATATAAGAAAGATAAACATTATAGTCTGTATTATTCCTTCATTATGTTCACTTTGACCAAAGATACAATCTCAACTGAAAGATATTTTCTTATTCAAGTTGTCTTATGTGCAAAGTCGATGCATGTATATAAATTATTTCTGTTCCTTTAATTTGGTAACAAATTATGCCGATTCTTTGTTTTCAGGGTGTTGCAATGCCTGCCATGAATAATATGCTTTCCAAGTGGATTCCAGTATCAGAGAGAAGTAGATCACTTGCGCTTGTATACAGTGGCATGTACCTTGGTTCTGTCACAGGCTTGGCATTCTCACCTGTGCTAATCCAAAAATTTGGGTGGCCATCGGTGTTCTACACATTTGGATCCCTTGGAAGTATTTGGTTTGCTTTGTGGTTGCGTAAGGTAAGCCACCTTTTACTTAATTTCAGTGAAATCCACTTTATGTATCTGTTTCGGATTTTAAAAATGTTTTGTGAGGAAACCATGCATTTCTACTTTTCCATCCCATGAAGTTTATTTTCATGTTTTGTGCTGATTTGTTAAGGGGCTGTCTCATGAAGAGTTGCATAATATACGACTTCAATGTGATACTTCTGCAATTAATAATCAATTAATGTTGCATTGTCTGGATATGAGTAAACCAGTTATGATCAGTGTTGCATAACACATGATGTTTATAAATGTGAGGGAACTTTATAATACCTTATGACAGCAAGTTGATCTTCATATCTTCTCTCTTCTGTTGGGCTCTGCCAGGCATACAGCTCACCAAAAGAAGACCCAGATCTTCAGGCGGAAGAGAAGAAGCTCATACTTGGAGGCAGCGTATCAAAAGAACCCGTGTCAGTTATTCCTTGGAAATTAATTTTATCAAAAGCACCTGTCTGGGCTTTAATAATTTCTCACTTCTGCCACAATTGGGGGACCTTCATTCTATTAACCTGGATGCCAACATACTACAATCAGGTACTTAATATTTAAGGGTTTTTTATTAAATGCTTTTAAGAATATATATTAGCTCAACAATACTATTTGTAATATGTCAAATCCTTTTGAGCAAGAGTTAAAATTGAGATAATACCACAGTGCTGAAAACCATAATTTATAGATTGGACATTTTTTATTTGACGATCATTTATGCCACAGAATTTTGTCACCTGTGGAGGTGGGGATACTCAGGAATTGTGCCCCATCCAGAGGATGGGAAAGGTCTACCAGCGTAAGCCCAAGACCATTAGGCCTTAATGCGTGAGGGGTGAACTATTTTGTAATAAAATTAGGAGTTAGGGGCAGATGGGAAAATTTGTAATAAATTAGTTAGTGAGGATAGGAAGGAACGCGCGAGTTAATTCTAATACATTGAATGCTGCTTGTATGGAGAGGAGTATCTTAGAATCTGAATTGATATTTTGAGGTAAAGAGATTCTCTCTTGCTGGGAGAGCTTTGCTCTCATAATTCTTTCATTCTTACCCCCTCTTTATTCTTTCTCTTGGTATATTCTTGCTTTGTAGTGTCCCTTTGATACTATACGTATCAGATACCCATCAAGGTCCACATAATTCTGCTCCTATTCGCATGAAACTTGTAGGATTTGTAGATTACATTTCCCGGTATTTTTCTATCAAGTCATACTTTTAATTGGCTGCATAATTGTGTCTGAAGATCAAAATATTTGTTATTTGGAACTCCCTCGATGTTAATGATGTCTTGCTATTAACTTTGTTAAACTTGAGTCTTCCCAGACTGCTATTTATATTTCTTGCTTATTACTCTTAAGTTTGTGAATTAAATTTTGCTTCATTCTAACTGCTGATATTATCAGGTTACGTCTAAAATGAGATTGTGTTGATCTTTCTTGAATGATTAGGTGATATAATAATAATAAAGAAAAAAATTGCTTGAAATATTTTGTTCCATTTAATGAATGAACTAACAGATCATTTTGTCAGGTTCTGAAGTTCAACCTCACTGAATCTGGGCTCTTTTGTGTCCTGCCATGGTTAACCATGGCTGTGTTTGCAAATATAGGAGGCTGGATTGCTGACACACTTGTGAGCAAAGGCCTTTCCATAACATCTGTTCGAAAGGTAGGAAAATCACAACTCTTGTAACTGAAAATTTCAAGTACATTGTCGCCTCCTCTACAATTATAATATTTCTATGCACAAAAATTTATTTCCCCACTCTCACCATCCCACCCACAGCCTGATTAAAATACAATTAACTGGCTAATGAGGAAGCTAATCTTGATTAATAGAACAAATCGCCGTTTATGAATTTTTAAATCAAAACAGGGGCATTCGTGTCAGTCCTTAGTAGAAATTTTTTTTTGAAGTGCCTTTTCAAGCTAATAAATAATATTCTGATTACAATTAAATAAAGGCAATTGAGACACGAACTGATTCAGTTTCCTTTTGCACACTCTAATGTGATTCTGCTTTACATATTTCCTATTTTGACAGATTATGCAATCAATTGGGTTTCTGGGTCCTGCATTTTTTCTTACACAGCTAAGCCATGTCAGAACACCCGCCATGGCAGTACTGTGCATGGCTTGCAGTCAGGTTCGAGCTAGATTGATTATATATATCTTTATGAGTTTTAGATTCTTCAATTTTTGAAGTATTTTTTTATGATATATTTATGTTTCATACTGATTCTAAAGTTTAAATGCTGATAAAAACCTTGAAAGGACAACACTACAAATCTCACACTAGAATCTCATACGTCCAATGTGGAACTCAAGTCCCATAACTCGTTATTGGATCCTAAGTCCAAACAGATGCCTACAAAACATGTTTGCGTAGGTTAATTGTATGCAGAGTTACCTACTATAAAACGCAATCTGATATTTCCTTTACAGGGATCTGATGCATTCTCGCAATCTGGTCTATATTCCAATCACCAAGACATTGGACCACGCTATGCTGTGAGTTATTGCTATTTTAATTTTAATGTACCAAGATCAATAAACTGTCAAATATAGACCGACATACTTTTCTTAAAGGAATACAAAATAAAAATAGAGAAAAAAAACTGATTGATCATTCATGCTAAAAGCTGTTAATAGTCTCCTCTGCTAGAGTTGTTTTTGCTGACACTTGTTGCAAGCTGAACGTCAGAGGATTTCGGTGATATTCTAATCTGCAGGCTGCAGCACCGATTGCTAAAACTGTTCTACTTTAAAATTGCCAGGAAAAGGGGTCAATGATTCAGTCACTACAAAAATTTATTGCACCTCTAATTTGTTTCATGATTAATGATGTCATTCACGAGTACCATTAACTTGTTTTGGTAGCCAGTATCTTATGCAAGTAACTTGTTGATTTATTTATTCATTCATTCAAGATGCCTCCAAGTGCATGAAATCCTGAGAAAAATCACAAATATTTTCAGTTATACAAGTTTCTTTTCCTTTTTACTTTTTTATTTAATCTGTTCCTACAAGAATGCTAACTGTATTAAATTTCAGGGAGTGTTGTTGGGACTATCAAATACCGCTGGAGTGCTTGCTGGTGTCTTTGGTACTGCTGCAACTGGATACATACTCCAACGAGGTAAGAATGCTCCACTTGCATCTAAACCTTTTACTTTTATGGTTATTCACTTATAAGTGGTCTATTTACTGTTGTGCAGGTTCTTGGGATGATGTATTTAAGGTTGCTGTTGCATTGTACATAATAGGCACCTTGGTGTGGAATGTCTTTTCAACTGGAGAGAGAGTTCTTGACTGAAGAATTTGATGATGTCAAGGAAGGTGTAGGCTATATAAGCCGTAGAGATTAAAAGAGAAAAAGATGGAACAAAAATCAATGACCAAATACGTCAGGCACTTGGAAGCGTAAAAGCCTCCTGCAGAAATCGAAGAGGCACAATCAAAGTTTTAAATCAAATAGCTTGACCTTTATATTTCTACGAAAATTTTGGATTAAATTGGCACCTTTTGCAAATGCCTTTTCCCACGATCTAAATGCTATCTGTATAGATACTTGGTGGGTAATATCCACTTATATGACTTAAGCATACTTATGCTTAAAATACATGTTAGCATACTTATGCTTAAAATATATGTTATGTGACTGACTATGCCTCATCATACTTGGCTGAAAAAGTTGGTCACACAGTATTCTTTCTGATTCAATGTGGAACTACATCTACTTTTACTGTTGGTTTAGTTTGTGCATTTCAACATCCATTATCATAGACAAGGATCATAGAACCAGAATCTTAAATCATAAATGAATATCTGGCCCCCAAAAAATATAGATGAATTATACATAGCTGAAGGGTTTACCACACGAGCATCATGCAGTAGATATGGCAAGCATACCACCAGAAACATATACCAGGTCAAATCGGATCATTGTACTTCTATAAAACGTAAGGCAATTCTTTTATAAACATCAACATTCAACAATGTGAAATGTGAGTTTAGCTCTTACAAACAGTAAAATTAAATAGAAACATGAAAGCAAACAAGAAATAAAGAATACAATGAATATCTGCAAGGATTCTACAAGGAAGATGGCTGAGAAAGCATTCATCCATCCCACAGCCCAAGAAAAAGAATCCATCCACAATTATCATTTGAATTATAAATTTATAAGATACTCTAAATATAACCTTTCTTTAATAGGAAATTCTGTTCTCTCTTGTTCTATAAGCTAAAGCCCGAGTCTCTGAATTCTCCTCATTTGAACTTGTCTTCACAATGCCAAGTCTCCAATGCCCTCTGCTGCATCTAGTGAACACCACACTAACTTTCATTGCATCTAAAACCAATATCTCCCTCCCTTTCTTTCTGTATACTTGACACAACCCCTCTCAAATCCCTTTCATGGACATTGACCTTGAGGCCATTTTTCATGAAGAGGGTAAGTGACATCTTTTGCTCAACCTGGTGGCCAGCCACCAGCACCAGCCGGTGGCGGAGCAGGACCGCGGCAGCGATGGACTTCATCTGCAGGTAAGCTAAATCCTTCCCCAAGCACATCCTTGGACCAGCATTGAAAGCAACAAACTTGAAAGAGTCATGCATGATGAACTTCGTTCCATCCAATGACAACCACCTCTCAGGTCTAAATTCCATGCAATCCTCACCCCACGTGGACTTCAACCTCCCTGCTGAGTATATCGAATATGTCACCGACGACCCTGCCGGCACGAATGTGCCGTCCGGCAGCACGTCGTCGGCGACCACGTGCTTTGAATCCTCCGGCACAGAAGGGTACAACCGTAGTGTCTCCGACAATGCAGCCTTAAGATAAACCAAACGATCAACTTCTTCAAACACCAACGGCTCAACGAACCATTTTGCCATGTCATTCCCACGTGTCTCCATCAAGACCGTACACACCTCACGTAGAATTCTCTCTTCGACCTTTGGATTCTGAATCACCAGCCAGAAAAACCAGCTCAGCGCAACTGATGACGTGTCACGCCCAGCTAGGATAAAATTCAATGCCACGTGTTGGAGAAACTCATCCGAGTATGATTCTTTTTTCTTCATGAATCTAGTCAGCAAGTCATCATGAAGGGTCCCATCTTTTTGCTGACTCAGCAATTCCACTTTGCGTTTTTCAATTACATTTGATAAATGTTCTTCCACGTGGACAAGGCTTCGGCTCAAGCTGACTTCCATTCCGAGCCGAAGCCATTTCTTAGCCTTCCACAACACTTCGGGAAGGATAAACCGCTGGAGGGAGGCTTCAGTGGCTCGGTCGAAAGCCGTGGCAAAGCGGTTATCAGGCAGCCCCGGGGCGCAAGTCTGTGGGTCTCGCCCAAAAGCCAAGCCACAAATATTATCAAAAGTGAGCCGAAGCATTAAGTCTTGTAGATCAACTGGCTCGGCTTGAGCCTCAGCTTTCTTGAGGATCAAGCAGAGTCGATCCTTGATGGCTCGGGTCACCCACCGAGCCATGGCTTGGCGTAGGGTCCGAGTGGTAAATTCCAGTGCAGCAGTCTTACGCTGGAAAAGCCACGTGTCACCATCAGAATTAAAGATGCCATCACCCAAGAGATCATGAAACACAGCATGCCACGTGGGACCTTTCGGGTAATTGTCGAATCGGGTCTTGAGTATATGCTCCAAGTTCCTCGGGTCACACGTGACTGTCACGAGACCCTGCTTCTTGGCTAAGAAGGGGATTGCGCAGATGCAGGTCTGGTACGTGCCGCCACACGCGCGTAGGTTGTCGCAGATCCAGTCATGCATGCGGTCACAGTTCTCTATAAGGCCCGGGAGACTGCCCAATAAGGGCCAGACACGTGGACCTTTTAACGACCGTGAGATGAACGTGAACCATAGTAGGTATGCTGTGATCGCCGTTAAAAGCAATAGAGCCGTGCAAGTTTCCATTTTTATTGCAACCCAAGAAAGAATCAAAGGCTCAAAGTTACAAGAAACTTGATGAGAAAATTTCCCTCTTGCTTTTTAACGAGGAAAAATATTTTAAAAAAATGGGGTACTTTAAAAAATGAAAAAACCGTACCTTTGGTCAAGAATGGCTCTGAATAATGAGTAACATTTTGATGAAAAGGGTTGATTATATGAGAGTGTGAGTGGAAGAAAGTTGGAAAATGGAGGAATGAAGGAAAGTGTAGAAGGGTGTGTATGTTTGTGTAAGGAAAAAGAGGAAAAGAAAAAGTGGGAAGTGAGTGAAAGAGTGTAGTAGTATAATAGTAGTAGAATGAGATAGTGTGTGTGTTATGGAGAAAGATTTATAGGTGAAATGGTTTAGTGCAGTTACTGTGGCCAGACTGTTTCTTGACAATGCATCGCACTTTTCTCTCTCTTACTAAACTCATCAGATGCACCATTATAAATGCTCTCTGAGAGGTTGTTGAAGCCTTTAAAGGTGAAGACACCCACCTGTCCCTCTCTCTCTCATGAAGAGCTTACCCTTGTTCTCTCTCTCATACCAAATTTTACAGGGATTGCAACAGGGTGTTCAAGTGAGGCAGACAATGAATGAAGGGAAATAAATGAGAGTAGTTGAGGAACATGGAGAGGAGAAAGAGGGAGAGACCCAGGGAAAAACACCAAACACACAAGCAAAAGTGCTTTGGAGTCACATACACACACACACCTTTTTCAGCAAATGGGGTTGTATGTGAATTATGAACCATTGTACTCTACCATATATCAAAATTATATTACTTTTGGAAGAGGAGAAAAAAATTGAGTGTTGCCAAGTGGGGTTTGGTTATGGTTTTGGTGAGCAACCTACCAACAATTTATAACATTTATGTGGGTGAACTGTCTTCTTATCTCTGCATATCCATTTCCTGCAAAATGAAATATATATATATTCCGTAAAAAAAATTTGAACAAAAAATGCAAAGCAAAAGAAAACAACAACATCGGGTATTCTAGGATTCATCACAGTCGCAGAGTTGACCTACCTTGCTCATTTATGGTGGAATTTGAATAATAATAATATGCCTGTGCTCGTTTGAGGCAAAAGTCAAAGCTACCTTGGCAGAATTCAATACTACAAAACCGCTTGAGCACTGCTCATGCCTCGAACTCATTCCAACGCGTTCTTCATCGAATGTAAAGTGATTTTTTTTTTCTTTCACTTATTTTCACTCGTTAACAAATCTTATGATGACTAGGAATACGGTGAGAACAGTCTTTATAAGGTTCAGATAATCCTTTTTATATATTGAGTTTGGTTTATTTTTCTAATATAATATTCTTTTTTAACAATTTTGAGTCAGGTTTATCATTTTTAATATAATATTCAATTTAAATGTTGAGTGACTTTCAGATGTTTAATTCTATAAATTTCATGCACTGTATATTTAGTCTTGAGTGTGTTAAAATATATTATATCGTCTAGAAATATGATTAAAATATTTTTTATAAGGCAGAAAATTATCTTTTTTTAAGTTAACCTTTAAGAATAAATTAGGTATAATTTTATAATATCACCATCTAAAATGAAATAAGTCTCGGCAAATTTAAGAAAAGAAAAATAATTTGAGTATTTATACTTAAAGAGATATAAAAATAAAAGAAAAAAATTATAGATATAATGAATAGTTAGATGTAAAAACATAAAGAGATCATGAACAATACTAAATGAGTGTTAACATCAATCGTTAACGTGTTCATAAATTCAAATTGATTTAAAAACAACTGAGGGCAGGCAGACCAATACGCTTAAAAACAAATAGACGAGAAGAACAGTAGAAAGAATAAGAGGTAGCCCAAACTAAGATATCTTTTAGTTCTCTCTATAGAGAAAGATCCATAAGCTATGCTTGTATATAATAATAATAACAATAATAATAATAATAATAATAATAATTATTATTATTATTATTATTATTTATCCATTTGAGAAATATTGTGGAAGCATGTGCAATATATTCCTGATTGTGTACTGAGGCCAGATCGATAATTTTTTGTTATTCCAAAAATATAAACTTTAGAATAATTGAAAAAAAGAATTGATTGCAGAGAGAACCAGTCATATAATTAGTTAAAACCCTAGCATGGCATGGATGATGGGATGCGAAATGCAAATTTTGCTTATTACATGCATAACGAGCTTTATTTTTCACTCCTTCAGTAAGTGCAATAACATGGCATGGGTGAATACTTATAGAGTTGAAACTCTTAAAGAGGTTTAGCTTCTTGCATGTTTTGAAATTACAACTATTTAGTAATAAAAATGCATAGAAACCCTTCTTCTCATTAGCCAAACTCTGATTATAATTAATCTCGTGGATAGTGTTCATTGTCTAATGCATGGGTTCAGGAGTGCAAATAGTTAATTGAAGTTTTTGCTATCAAACAAGTATTATTGTGGTGATGTTTAACCTAATTAATGGCAATTAAGTATTGTCAAACCAAGAAAGAACGGTCCAGAAATTGATGGGTTGAGTAAAAGTTTAAACTTTGAAGAGATAACCTTATGGGTGAAAGAAAGTCAATAGAGTAATTAGGAAAATGAAAGAGACATCTCTGCTATGAAATTAATACATTTATGGTAATGCGGTGAAGATGTTTCACAGGTCAAAGTTAATAACAAGGATGGAGTTTTCTTCTGGATTCCCTATTTTTATAATTTTCTTGTTATTTTATACAATAAGCATTAAAAATATATAGATTGGTTATTTTCAAAATATAAAATATATTGAATATTTTTATTTAATAATTAAGAAGATTTAAAACTATAAAAGATAAAAAGTTTTAAATTATTTAGAAAAAAAATTAAATCAAAGTTTCATAGAGAAGTTTTTTTCCTTCTGAATAATGATAGTTATACACCCCATTTTCAAGGGTATATGAAGTGCAAATAATTAAAGAGATAAAAATAAGGAAAAAATTAATAATGCTTCTTTTAGGTTTTTTATAATATTTTTAATTAGAAAAAATATAGGCTCTTTTTTAAATATATTATTCCTAAATTATTAGTATACTTTTATTTATTATAAAATCTATGTTAATAAAATATTAATTTAATATTTCTGTAAACAAATATATTTAATAATTTAGTATATAAGTCATCAATTTAATTATTTAATATTATAGATATATTTATTTATATTATCTTGTTAAAATAAATTTCACAATAAATAATGTTATAAAAATAATTTAATAATTAATTCATAAAATAATTTTTAAATATAAAATTCTTATAAAAAAGAGTAAAAGAATTTTATTTTATTAATTTTAATGCATTATTTTTTTATAAAATAAAAATGTTAAAATATTTTTTATCTTTCAATTTTTTTTTTTACATAATTAAGTCTTTTTAATTTAAAATTACACAATTTTAGTGTAGGTTTGAAATGAATTTTTTCTAGGTAAAATTTGACGTCTTGGTTGTTGAATTTTCAGTAGAAAATAATTTAATAAAATAAAATATATAAATTTTTGAATAAAAATGAAAATTTAAAAATGTTAAACGGAAAAAAAATTGACAAATGAGGAAGTTTGATAAATTTTAATAGTAGAAAACATTATTGGCTTGAAAAAAAAATTAGTGATCAAAATCACACGATCTAAATTTGAGGGATACAAAGTATAATTAAATTGAAAAAAGAAAGTGACAAATGATATCATGCAATAAGAAACAAAAAATACTTATAAGTGAGCGTTTGAATACGTAATTTATTTAATTTCTATTTAATGATTTTTTAAAAATATATCTTATATCATAAATTTAATGATACAATTTATTAAAATAAATTAAAATTAACTTATTTTTATAAATTATTTAGTAAATATTTATTAAAATAAATACAAAAAAATTAAAAATAACTTACGAGAATCATAAGCTAATTTTTAATGAATTATTTATAATATCTTTTAAACAAATTTTAAATAATAAAGTTATTCATCAAAGTTCGTTTTATTTTGATGGACTCAAAATTCAAATTTATATTTAATTAAATTTTTTATTAATTAATCTACATGCTCTGATAATTAGAGGATAAATATATATTTTTTCAAATAAACAAATAAAAATTGATTAAATTTTAAAATGGATTATTTTAATTTGTTTATCATTAACAATGTTTAATTTAGTTAAGAATTGGAACTCAAATAACTAATTGCACTTACATGAGTGACAGGGAAGAGAAAAAAATATATAATTACTATATTGTTGTTTAAAACTGTGTATAACAACTTGTAGTGGCATCATTCAGAATGAGCACAGTAATTTTATCTTTGACTTTTATAGTAAAATTGACTTCTATTTATCTTTGACTGTGGAATTATACGAGATCTTGCTAGGTCTTCAAATAGTTTCTCTCAAGGAGATTCACATTATTTGGGTAGAGAGTGACTCTAAAAAAGCCCTTTTTAAAATTCAATACCTTTCTCACTCCTATTTGATTTGATTTGTAATATTAGACAATTGATAAGTCTATTAGATTTGTTCGTTTTGCCCATATTTTTAGATAAACTAATTATTATGCTGATAAAATAACTAAAATAGGGTTAAAGGCTTTATTACCTTTTCATTGTTTTGATGTATCTCCTTCTTAATTGCTTCTATTTTTATGCTTTATTTCCTGTTAGTAAAAATCTTTTAAACTTTAAATAATTGGATTCAAATTAATAACTGGTATCATCTTTTTTCAAGTCCATATCAAGTCAATAAAAAAAAACCGGATATTTTATGAATATGATATGAAAATATTTTATAAACCTTTTTATATAATATTATGCATAATAAAAATTGTATATAATATAATTTTTAATTAAAAATATAATATTTAATAATATCAATGCAGTAAATTACATTAATTGTTATAATTTTTAACGAAAACTTATCATTTATAATTTCTTATCAGGTTGAATATTACATGGCACATGTTAAAAGAATTAATATTTTATTTTTATAAAAAATCTTATTTAAATATTTTTTAGTAATTTATTTAAAATGAAAACTAAATTATTGTGTATATTAATTTTAAGAATAAATTACATTCTCTTTTATTTATGTTTTATCAAAATACTTTTTTAATAAATTTTATATTTTTGTCAAATTATTTTAAAAAAACTTAACAAATTCAATTGTTTTTTTTTATATATAAAATAACAAGTATTTCATATTATTATAACGTATAAGAGCTTTAAAAGTTTATATCGATGTCTTGATGAAAATATATATGTAAGATATAAATGACTTGCGATCTTTTATATATATATATATATATATATATATATAGGTAAATAATGTTTTTAACAATATAAAACAAAATAAACAAAATAATATATTTTAGAATAACAGCATAAGATTTATATCTCATGGGAGGGGGGAGTGTTTTTTATTCTAATTTCCCAAAGGCAGTTTTTTTTATAAAATATATGATAAAATAAAATAAAATCTAATTATGGGTCACTATGCAGATATTTACAATGTATATGTCAAGATCTCTCTCTCTCTCTCTCTCTCTCTCTCTATATATATATATATATATATATATATATATCCTTTTCCGTTTCTTGCTTCTGTATCTTCTTTTCCTCTTCATTGCAGCATCATTCCGGTGACTATTTGTCATAGTTTGGGTAGAATTAGGTTTTTGTATATGTAAAGTAATATGGTTACGTTGAAAAGAAAAGAAAATACATTTTTAATAAATAAAGATTTATTTTAATTAATTTAAGTTTTAATAATTAAAATTGATAAAAACTATACCATTTTCTCTTTAATATAATCATATCATTTGATTCAATAAATTATTTGAACTTTTTTTTTTTTTCACATTTGACAACCAATCCTTGAGGTTTAAAACATGTATATATAAATGGTGATTTTATTCACATTGATTCCGGGAATGCAATGTATGATATATAAATGTTACTTAATCAATTTGTTTGATATGCTATGGGAAGTATATATGTTGATAGCTTTATTAGGAATATAATTACCAAAGGAAAAATATGGAAGCCTTGATATTCTATTAAGATACATAAAGTAGTTTGATAGTGCCTAATGAATTTGATCCATTGGTATTCAGTAATCCTTTCATGTCATTTTCAGGATATAATTATACAGCAAGCATGTTTGTATTGTCCAAAGTATAAAGATATACCATAATAAACTTAAATTCTTGAGACACATATTTGATGAAATTTTCTCGATTGATGATAGACAACACATTGCATTGAATTGTTGATTGACATATTCTAAGAGACAATTTAAAAGATGGGTAGCTTATTAGGTGAAAACTTCATGATCGTAGCTGGGGCAGTTGCTATTAGCCAAATCATTTTGTCCACCAAAGCTCACTACATCACGATCAAGTGTGTGTATCACCCATCTCTCACCCATTCAAAACAACCCTTCATAGACTGTTCATCTTTTCTAAAATAAATAAATTATATCATTTTTTGCAAAAGCAAAAACTTCAAAGTGATGATTTTATAGTAAAATTGCAAACAAAGTAGCTGCAAAAATGTTAAAAAGCTTATTAATGAATTTTAAAGTGAGACCATTCATATTACCAATACAAACTTTATTTATTGAGCATGCAACACTAACTTTTTAGATTAGATGCGACAACCCATATTCATGAATGGTTGTAATTGTGCTCATGTGGCTTCAATCTCAATCGCCCCAATTAAATAATGAGATATATGGGTTTCATTAGGTCAACACTCACATACCTATAATCTTTGTTTTATACATTTATGTCAATTGCGGGATTCACAAGAGCAACTCACTTACGTATGCTGAAAGGTTTTTATAAATATATATAAACACACACTCTAGCCTGAAGCTAAAACCCGTGATAATATTCAAAATCAATAGCAATTTTTGTGGTTTTCTGAGCCAGAAATTGGACCAATATTAATGATTAGTATTTTTTACGTGAAACAATTAATTAAATCGGTTAAATTTATCTTGTCAAACATAACATGGAATTATACACAAAACAAACTCCCATACTTTTATATATATATTTTCAATCTTCTGCTATTAACAATTTTCCTATTAAGTGGATATTTTTAATATTTTACTTTTTGTATATTGTGTGTGCGTGTGTTTTTTATAACTTGTTCAACATATTTGAGGTCACTCACTTTGGTGCCAATAAATAGAGTTTGAATCTTGTTGAATATAAATAATAATTATCACATCCCCATTCCCTTCTTCCAACCCCTACCCAACTAAATAAATAAAAACCAACTTAAGAGGTAAGACAAAAGGGATAAAAGATAGAACATGAGTCCCTTTCCACCATTCTTTTTTTAATTCTTGAGTTGATCCCCTCCCTCCCATATTAACGATGCTCACGGGATACAACAAAAGTTACAAAATTAAGACCTTAGAGAGAGAGAGAGAGAGAGAGTGCTTTTTCTTTGTCCTTATTTTATTTTATTTTTTGTGCAAAATTCTTTTGCTATTATTTGGTTTTAAAAAATAACATGAATTGGGCCAAACATGAGTTGGGTTAATGTTCACGGTGCGCTTATTTATTGGGCCAAACATGATGGGGGCCTTTTTATCTCATATGTTTTTTAATCTGTACTTGTTACTATTATTATTATTATTCGGATAAAATTAGGCGTTGACAAATATACTAAAGTGTTTTATCCTCTTTTATATGCATGGTTCTTGTAATTTCAGTTGTCTTGTAAAATCTTTTAAAACTAGAATAAAAGTGGGAACAACACAAGGAGGTCATATGAAACTTATGTTTGCGTACCTATGTATCAGCCTCCCAACAATTGTGGAATTTGTGGCCTTGTAAAAGCTTGAAGTTATGGGAGGATCCACTTCTTCAATAGCTTTTAGGTTTTGAATTTTATGTTTACTTACTCGTGAACTTATATATTTTTCAACCATTATGAACTTCCGTGAACAACAGTTGACATATTTTTTACAGGGAATAGTGAGTGGAGACACTGTCACTGGATTTGGACGATACCTTGAATCCAAAAATCCTAATGTTATTAAGGTGATGATGATCTTCATATCATAATTCAAATTACATGTTGGGATAGATAAATTCATTAAATCCCTTAACTTTTGTACCATTTTAGATACATGGAGTGGAACCAGCTGAAAGTAATGTTCATTACGAAGGTCGTTGGTGAAATTAAATTTCATAAACGTACTGTTAATTCAAGCACCACAACTTTTTTAAACGAAAAAAAAAAGAAACAGAAAATGAATTGGGTAATGACAAACTTTAAATGACAAAAATAACAGGTTTTCCTCAGCCTATTACATAAGATTTCAAAGACGACAATGCTTTGAACACAATGTGTTGATTTATTTGGGATTTCCTTAGTATTTGCTGTCATAACATCAGAGTATAAGGCTAAAATGAATTTTTATGTTTTTTTAAGGTTGATATTAGTTAGAATAATCTGCTTTTTAACTCAACTCGAAGCCGAAGCTATAGTTTCTCTTAAATAATTTACACCATTTGTTGAGTGATGCTTTAAGTTCAAGTGTGGGGTCATAGTGAATGATTGTGAGCACTTTAAGCAACACCTTTCTATGAATAACTTTTATTAATCATAGAGCACATAAATTAACACCCTTAGAGTTGAATTTATGGAATAATAATAATAATTTTTTATTTTAAACCTAGTCGCTTTTGCTTAATAAATTATTAAAATTATTGCTTTCATGGGCAAAAATAGAATTCGAGAATAGAAACCTAAAGTTTTTGTTCTACAAAAATTCATGTGATGGTGGAAAGTCCCATCTTCACTAGCACACTCATTTTTTCAAGAGTGTTCTTTGTTAAGAAGTTAGCTTGTCTGCAAGCAAGAATGAGTTTTAAAATGAATATTATTAGCTTGCTTTTTAATTCATTTTTTATTATTAAAAAAATATATACGATTCACCAAATTATGTAAATTTTATTCTTTTAATAAAAATTCATATAAAATTTTATCAATAATAAAAAATATGTAAAATGTACATTATCATTTTTTTCTCAAAAACTTTTCTAAAAGTTGAAGATTTCAATCATGCATAAGTAACAAACCTTGTTGAGATTACTGAATTGTGCATTATGAACATTTTCTTTATTTATAAACTATTATGAATAAAAAAAGTATTAAATTGTGAGCATTTGTATCAACATTGCCTTAGACCAGCATCACATTAGTTTTCTTAAACATCTATACCTTTTTTGATTGGCACTTGAAATTTTTGGTCCCAATTTTCTACAACTATGGAGAGAGCTATAATATTTTCACAATTTTTGAAAAATGCTAACAATATAGATTAAACGTAATATTTAATATATTCTTTGTGATTCATGTATTTTAAAAAATATTTATCTCATTCATTTAACATTTTAAAAATTCAACCAATCGTTTAAAATATATTCAAAATAACATATTATTAATTTTTTTCTATTATTTTACCTACTTATTATTATATTTAAAATATATAAAAAATGATTTTTATAGTAAAATAAAATAAACAATTATTTTTCATTCAAATAATTATTTTTCTATATATTTTTCTTCAATTTTCTTCTTGCATTCAAATGACAGATTTGAAAGCCAACTTTTACTTTTAGTGGATAAAACAAAGGGACAATGCCCAATGACTTTAATGCACCTAATGATGTATTTTTCCCCTTTTAATTGGTTTGCTATTCTCCATGTACAGGAAGGGAAATTATTGCTTCACTGTCAATTTTGAGTTCAAATAAACGAAAATATAAAATTTGTTGAAATGATGTATTTTTTCTCTTTCAATATATTTTTTATTATTGAATAAAATTTATTGAAAATTATAAAAATTATGTGTCTCTTATTCTTCTCATTCTTAAATTAATATTTTTTTGTAATTTTTTAAATTAATTTTAACTAATAGTAAAAAGTTATTAAAAATCGTGTTACTAACTTTCTTTATAGATAAATGGAAGAAAAAAATAGAAAGGAGAAAAAAAAAGAATAGTAAGACAGAAAAGAAAGTATTAAAATAAATTAAAAAAATAATTTGTTAACTGTAAAGTGAGTTAGAATTATTCTGACGGTTATATTTAGCTTTAAATGTGATTAAGATAATAGAAACAAATATTTCAGCGTTTAAGTCATATGAATTTTAATAGAGTTTTAGTTAGATAAATAAACTTATGTGAAGTTTAAGTCCTTTCTTTTTTATATTGAAGTGGGTTTTCTTAAATTTTTGGGTTATTTTTTTATATTAATTTTAGCTAATTTGTTAAAATTCTATTGTGATTTGAGAGTTTGATATGTTATTTATGTTTATTGATTGAGACATATTAAAGATTATCCTAATCATAGTTTGATGTCGGTTCGTTAGTGTTAGCGATTTGGCCCTTCTAACTGCAATTAATTATGTTCACATTGAATTATTTGTCTCTTAAAGTGATCTGTGAATCGGAAAGCGAAGGCTCGCTAACTGTGGTTGAACAACACTAAGGTGAACTAGTTGAGTCCAAATTATATATAAAAGAAAAATATTTAAATGAGTTATAACTAATTTATATTTTTTTACATCAAATATGTAAAAAAATAATTAATGTGAAAAATAAAAAAATATTATACAAATAATAATTATTAAAATAATTTAAATTTTAGTTAATCCAAACGCAAACTTAGTGTAAGCCTGGAAGACAAGGCGTTGATAAGAATTAAAACAACCACCACCGTTGAATCTGGCGTTTCCTATTTTGATCTTATCGAAGTGAGCTTAGAAAATGTTGATAAAAATAAAAAAGGAAACCAGGCTCTGCAAATTCGAAAATGAAATGAAGAAAAAGAGTGTTTCCTTTACCTTTCTTTGCATTTTTCCTTTTTCCACTTCAGATCCAAATTCTCAATTGACCCATCCTTTGTTCAAAATTACAAATATACCAACAAATGAGTTTGCTTAGTTACCAATTGCAATTGATTGAATTTAAGAGAGGGGTTGGGTGGTAATTTAGAGAAAAGGGAGGGGCAAATCTCAATGGATCCTTCCGTAAATGAGTAACCGGAGGGAAGTGGAGGCTACCTCTTAATAAGATTTTGGCATCAAGCCACAGCACAGGTTCCTTTCACTTTGCCAACTACCAACTTCGACCCAAAAAAATTACTAATAAAATAGATAAACAATTTTTTATAAAAGAAAAAGAAAAAAATTGTTAGGGTTTGACCGAAAATTGCACAATCGCGTGCGACCCACACAGTGGAATCACACCGATTCGGACAACTTAGCTTCTCTTCTCTCTGTGTTCCTTCCGATCCATCCTCGCTCACCCCGAAACTCTAGAGAGAGAAAATCGGTGGCCACATGCTTCAGCTAGAGAGAGAAAACAATGGTGAACGACGATGCGAGTTCACATGGTGGGAAAACGAAATATTGTGTTTTGCTTGAATTTTGGAGGGATTTGAGGTTTTTCCTTTTGTGGGGTCGCTTTGTTTTTTCCCAATTTTTATTTTTTTTATTTTTTATTTTGGGTGGGTTTTTTTAGTGGGAGTGATCTGAATTGGGGGTTTCTTCGCTGGCACGGGTGCCCCATTGAAATTCTGAGCTAATTTGCATGCAATCCGGTGGAGGAGGCGGCGGCGTGCCCGGCCGGAACCCCGGAGTGGGGTCGGCAGGGCGGGCGGCGACGTCTTCTGCGGCGGCATCGCCTTCTTCTTCGTCTTCGGCGTCGCAATTGGGGTTGGAGTCTTTGCAGCAACAGCAACAGCAGCAGATAGGTTCTAGGCAGGTGGGAATTTTGGGTTTTAACTGAATTTCTATGATAATTTGGTGGAACATGTTACACTGACAATAATGGTGGGGGTACTTAGTGTTGTGTGTGTGAAGTAGTAGTAGTAGTGATTGTGGTGGTGGTGATGTGGTGTTAGTTTTGTGGGTTTTGAATTTTGATGACTTGTAACACTTGGTGGGGTTTTGGGAATTGGGAGTGCCGTGCATGTTGGAAATTGGGATGCAGTGAGATTGCAACTTTTTTCCCCCTTTCTTTTTGGTTTTATGACAACCTCGTACCTGTCTGTCTCGGTTTGTCGGGTTTGTGGTTGTTTATTTCAAGAATAATTAATTTTTGAGGTGCACGAGAGGAGTCAAACTTGGCATGTTTTAATTTTGTAGAGCGTGCAAAAATGATGGAAAGCGTTGAACTTGTGTGCTATTGAGTACTGCTGACACTGTCAGTTTTTTTCAGTCTAGTTTTCTTTTTATCACAGTCATATGAACTTTGCTTTGGTATATGAATTTTTTTAACTAATAGGTCTTTTTGCATTTATTTTGTGCTCTTATGTGAGGTTCAATTAATGGTAAATCTAACTATTCTGTGTATTCCTGGAATTTCCTTTTAGAAATTGATGAGGAATATGAAACATCGTGGTGATAAGACCCAAGGTTCTGGTTTGGTTCAACCCCTCTTCCCCCTTCCTTTCATCTCCCTTTCTTCAAGTGCTGTTGTTGTAGTTTAAACATGTTGATTAGATGTAGATTACAACCCAGCTCAAGTTATAATTGTTAAAAGCGTTGTTTTGTCAACTTCTGTATGTTGTCAGTTTTAACCTTGATTCTTCCTTCTGCCTATCACCAACTGTTATGTGTTGTTAATCTGAATGAAGCCATTAATATGAAATTTTCGGTTTCTTGTTGACTGTTAGTTTTGTAGCTAATGCAATCTTCATGGGAAAATCATCGTTATATCAACTTCTTTCTCAAAATGTTGTGATCAGTAATATATGACTGATTTTCAGCATGTTTTGTGGTAATGGTGGTTAGGAATTTGTCATAACTTATAAACATGATCTTGATTTTGCTTTCCTGTTTGTTACTTCAGTAGAGGACATTGTTTGGTTTTTTCTTATGTATTGTAAGTTGCCTACACAAGTTTCCATGGAATTTTCTATCCTACTATTTTAAAATCTTAATTCATGAATATAATTGTTAGTCCTGGAACCAAATGTTCTTGTCTTACTTTACAACTTTTTTACTCTTCTCTGTTTTGATATTGATGAAATTTTATGATCTTATATCTGTTTTTTCTTGTTTTTTAAAAGTGCAATCACTAAACAATTAGTATTACAGAATCATGACTTTCACTTAACTATGTGCATATGCAGTCATTTCAACAGCAACTACTTAGAAAACCAGAAGGGAATGAAGCTTTTTTGGCTTATCAAGCAGGGCTTCAAGGGGCATTTGGTAGTAACAATTTCCCATCTCCTAGTGCCATGCAACTGTCTCAGCAGTCTCGAAAATTGCAGCTTGGTTCCAACCAGGATACTCAGCTAAGGGGTCAAGGTATTGAGCAGCAAATGCTAAATCCTGTGCATCAAGCATACCTTCAATATGCACTCCAGGGTGCACAACAAAAGCCTGGTTTAGGAATTCAGCCACATCAGCAAACTAAAATGGGAATGTTAAACCCTGCATCTCTGAAGGATCAGGAAATGCGTATGGGAAATTTGAAAATGCAGGATATTATGTCTATGCAGGCATCAAATCAAACCCAAGGATCATCCTCTAGAAATTCATCTGAGCTCAGTGCTCGTGGGGACAAGCAAATGGAGCAAGGGCAGCAAATAGCACCTGAGCACAAGAGTGAAGGAAAGCCTTCAACCCCAGGACAATCCACTGGACATTTAATTCCTGGAAATATGATTAGGCCTATGCAAGCACCAGAATCACAGCAGGGTATCCAAAATGTTGTAAACACTCAGCTTGCAGTATCTGCTCAATTGCAGGCTATGCAGGCATGGGCACGTGAGCGTAATATTGATTTATCACATCCTGCAAATGCACACTTAATGGCACAGCTCATTCCACTAATGCAGTCAAGGATGGCCTCGCAATCAAAGGTCCATGAGAGCAACGTTGGTGCCCAGTCATCACCTGCCCCTGTCTCAAAGCAGCAGGTTACTTCTCCAGCAGTTGCAAGTGAGAGCTCAGCACATGCTAATTCATCAAGTGATGCGTCTGGGCAGTCAGGTTCTTCAAAAGCCAGGCAGACAGTTCCACCCAGCCATCTTGGCTCAACAATGAATGCTGGTGTATCTGGTAACTCCAATGACATGGCAACACCTCAATTTGGTGTTCATGTCAGAGAGTCTCAAGCTCCTCCAAGGCAACCAGTAGTGGTTGGAAATGGAATGCCCTCTATGCATTCTCAGCAGTCTTCTGCCAACATGAACTTAGGTGCAGACCATCCTTTGACTGCAAAAACTTCATCATCTGGTCCAGAAGCTCCTCAAATGCAGCACATTAGGCAGTTAAACCAATCTGCTCCTCAGGCTGGAGGTCCAACAAATGAAGGGGGTTCAGGAAATTATGCCAAATCTCAAGGGCCATCAGCCCAGATGCCTCAGCTACGACATGGGTTTACAAAACAACAGCTACATGTTCTTAAAGCACAGATACTAGCATTTAGGCGGCTGAAGGTTAAATCTCTGATTCCTTTCTCATTCTATCTAGTCTGTGTGCATCTGTCTGCTGGTGCTATTTTTATAGACTTAGCAAAGATTCACTGTGCATAATCTGAAAGGAGATATTCCTTAACTTTTTTCCTTTTTTCTGTTGGTGTATAGAAAGGGGAAGGTACTCTGCCTCAAGAACTTCTTCGGGCTATTGTTCCACCGCCTCTTGAGATGCAGGCACAACAGCTGCATCATCCTGCGGGAGTACAAAACCAAGACAAATCTGCTGGAAATATTGTAGCAGAACAAGCCAGCCACATTGAGTCCAATGCCAAGGAGTCACAGTCTATCCCTGCTATTAATGGACAGACTTCTTTAAAGCAGGAATCCCTTGCTAGAGATGAGAAATCCGTTATACCACCAGTTCAAGTTCAATCTGTAATGCCTCCTGTGTCAAAGGAATCTGCTCCAACATTATCTTCTGGAAAGGAAGAGCAGAAATCAATTGCGTGCTCTGTTAAGTCAAACCAGGACAATGAACATGGAAATAACACTACTCCTGCTAGAAATGAGTTAGCATTGGATAGGGGAAAAGCTATTGCATCACAGGCTTCTGTATCTGACACAATGCAGATTAAGAAACCTGCACAAACAAGCACTGTTTCCCAGCCAAAGGATGTTGGATTGACCAGAAAATATCATGGACCCCTTTTTGATTTTCCTTTCTTCACTAGGAAACATGATTCCTTTGGGTCATCAATGATGCTAAACAACAACAATAATTTGTCACTGGCCTATGATTTCAAAGATCTTCTTTTTGAGGAAGGTGTGGAAGTACTTAACAAGAAAAGGACAGAAAATTTAAAGAAGATTGAAGGTTTATTGGCTGTAAACTTAGAGAGGAAAAGAATTAGGCCAGATCTTGTATTGAGGCTGCAAATTGAAGAGAAAAAGCTTCGCCTAGTAGATCTTCAGGCACGTTTAAGGGATGAGATTGATCAGCAGCAACAAGAGATAATGGCAATGCCAGATAGACCATATCGCAAGTTTGTTAGGCTGTGTGAACGTCAGCGAATGGAACTTGCTAGACAAGTGCAGGCATCTCAGAGAGCAGTGAGGGAAAAGCAACTCAAATCTATATTTCAGTGGCGTAAGAAGCTCCTTGAAGCTCACTGGGCCATTCGTGATGCCCGTACTGCCCGTAACAGGGGGGTTGCCAAATATCATGAGAGGATGTTGCGGGAGTTTTCAAAACGTAAAGATGATGATAGAAATAAAAGGCTGGAAGCCTTAAAAAACAATGATGTAGACAGATATAGGGAGATGTTGCTGGAGCAGCAGAGTAGCATCCCAGGTGATGCTGCAGAGAGATATGCTGTTCTTTCGTCTTTCTTAACCCAGACAGAAGAGTATCTACATAAATTAGGCAGTAAGATTACGACTACGAAAAATCAACAGGAAGTGGAGGAAGCAGCTAAAGCTGCTGCAGCTGCTGCACGATTGCAGGCATGCTTCATTAACCCTTCTCTCCTCCCAATGTTTATTCCCTTTTTCTATAAAAATTAGTTTGGAGGGTCTGCTATTTGAACTTGTTCTATATGAATATTTACATATCTCTGATCCATTATTTGTTGTTGACCAAAGGGTCTTTCTGAAGAAGAAGTCAGAGCAGCTGCTGCATGTGCTGGAGAGGAAGTGATGATTAGAAATCGTTTTCTGGAGATGAATGCTCCTAGAGATAGTTCATCTGTCAACAAGTGTGTTTTTGCTTGTTAATTTATTTTTAGTTTCCATAGAGGTTTTCTGCAAAAGTTCTTCAGGGGAGATTCATTTTAGTGATAGTTGATGGCTGAAAATCTGTTTATGTTTTTTTCTTTTAATTTAAATGTTTTGGTAATGATTATATAACTATGTTTTTAGAACTTTGTTTAATTGGTTCATATAATTATGCATCTTATAATCAATTGCTATCACTATGGCTACTTACCAGGTATTACAGCCTTGCCCATGCTGTGAATGAAACGGTCATAAGGCAACCATCCATGTTACGAGCTGGAACATTGAGAGACTATCAGCTTGTAGGTTGCTACATTATATGGAACAGTATTTTTTAAATGATTGCTTTTTGTTGTCTTCTTGAGCAAGTTTTCAAGGCTTTGACACATTATATTTTTTAAGGTTGGTTTGCAGTGGATGCTTTCTTTGTATAACAACAAATTAAATGGAATTTTGGCAGATGAGATGGGTCTTGGCAAAACTGTGCAGGTTAGTCTTAAAACTTTTTTGTTGATCTTGCTTAGGTTAGGAAGAACGTTTGTCATGAATTTTTTCCTTCCTGCAGCTGATTGACTTCACAGTTCATCATTAAGTTTGTTATGTCATACATGGGATATGCAATATGTTAGACATTTATTCATATTTTAAGGGTAATGCATCATTATTTACGGTAGTACCAGTATGTTCCTTCAATAAACTTAAATATATATATTTTCTAGGTTATGGCGCTGATTGCATACTTGATGGAATTTAAAGGAAACTATGGTCCACATCTTATAATTGTCCCAAATGCTGTTTTGGTTAACTGGAAGGTGAGCTTGTAATTTAGTCATTTGATGGATATTCCTTTTCTTTTTTACTGTGTTTTTAAAATGAAAAACTATGTTCATCGTGCAGAGTGAGTTTTATAATTGGTTGCCATCTGTTTCATGCATATTTTATGTTGGAGGGAAGGATCATCGATCAAAATTATTTTCCCAAGTAAGTGTGCCTCAGCTATTTTCCCAAGAGTATTTAACAACTTTCTGCTGAATTTTATTTTCTTTTACAATGGCAGGAAGTTTCTGCTATGAAATTTAATGTCCTTGTGACTACTTATGAGTTCATCATGTATGACCGGTCAAAACTCTCAAAAATCGACTGGAAGTATATCATAATTGATGAAGCACAGAGAATGAAGGACAGAGATTCTGTTTTAGCACGCGATCTTGATAGATATCGTTGTCAAAGACGTCTGCTTTTGACAGGAACACCATTACAGGTATGCTTTGCTTTGATACAGAAGGCAGAATGCGTTATTGTGAACAGTAATGTCTTTGAATGAATATGTGTTCATCCATTTCTATTGTATTGTGTACCAGTTAGACAGAACACTACCAGCTCAGATCATCAATTCTGTAGTTTTATTTTTCATTAGCTTGTGCTTCTTTTATAACTTAATCTTCTTGTTCATTTACATTTTCCAAAGACACACATTATAGAGGGCCAGTAAAAGTACTGCTAACTTACTGAGTTCAGTTAACAATTAATTAACCTGAACAAATCAGACCTCCTACTTAGATAACCTGAAGATATGTTTTATAGCATTCCATATATAAAAGATTTGATGTGCAGTTCTCTCTTCAGGACAGGTGAGGCATGAGGAACAAATTTTACGCAGAACTATATGAAAAATTAAGGTTAAAATATATTTTGTCCCATTCATGACTCTAATTTTCAATTTAATCCTTATACAAAAAAAAAAAGTTCCTATATGTACTACCATTTTCCATTTGGTGTTCATTGTCTGTTGGAGTTATTACATTCAGGGATCAAATTAAAAGTGAGTGTTGCATACAAGGACCAAAAATGTTATAGCTTTTGTCCCTATTCATGATAGTCATTTTCTGTTAGGTCCATATTTTTCGCTGTAACTTCATATCTTATGGTATTGTAATGGCAACAAATTGAAACTTGAAAATGAGTGTCAGAAAAACGGACCTAAGATATATTTAAAATAAAATTCAAATTTGCTCCAATAGTGTTTGGTTGCCAATATGGAATAGAAACTGTTAAGGCTAGATCAGCTTTAACAGAGCACATCATTCTAGTTTGTCATGGGTCAAGCAGACATGATGAATGATTCTAAGCATGGTACCAGGACAATTAACAGTTATCTCCTGTTCATGTTCTTTTTGGTCACAATTTCCTATGTCTGACACTACTATGATTCTTTTAATATACCTGTATTCTAATACAATAAAAAGCTCAAATAAGTTCTCGTTTCCATAACGTTTGGTCATGACAAATATGTTCTATATGTTAGTATCTGCTAGATATTGATAAATTTTAGATGCTTGTCACAGTACAAATTTTGTTGGAATTATTAATAGTGATTTTTCTCTGCAGAATGATTTGAAGGAACTCTGGTCTCTCTTAAATTTACTTCTTCCTGAAGTTTTTGACAATAGGAAAGCCTTCAATGATTGGTTCTCAAAACCATTTCAAAAGGAAGGTCCTCAAAATGTAGAGGATGATTGGCTTGAGACAGAGAAGAAAGTTATTATTATCCATAGACTTCATCAAATTCTTGAGCCTTTCATGCTCAGGCGTCGTGTGGAAGATGTTGAAGGCTCGCTTCCACCAAAGGTATGATGATATACCCCTAAATTTGCTTGCTTGTAATCTGGTGGTTCTGTTCTAATATTGATATTGCATTGCAGGTGTCCATAGTTTTAAAATGTAAAATGTCAGCTGTCCAGAGTGCTATTTATGACTGGGTGAAATCAACTGGTACCCTTCGTCTTGATCCTGAGGATGAGAAACGTAAGGTTCATAAGAATCCAGCCTACCAGGTGAAGCAATATAAAACATTAAACAACAGATGCATGGAGCTTCGTAAGACTTGCAATCATCCATTGCTTAATTACCCATTCTTTAGTGACCTATCTAAAGATTTCATTGTAAGATCTTGTGGAAAATTGTGGATACTGGATAGGATCCTCATAAAACTTCAAAGAACTGGACATCGAGTTCTACTTTTCAGTACCATGACAAAACTTCTAGACATCTTGGAAGAATACCTACAGTGGCGAAGACTTGTGTACAGAAGAATTGATGGGACAACTAGTTTGGAAGACCGTGAATCAGCTATAGTGGACTTCAATAGCCCTGATTCAGATTGTTTCATCTTCCTGCTTAGTATTCGAGCTGCCGGGCGAGGCCTTAACCTTCAGTCTGCTGATACAGTTGTTATTTATGATCCTGATCCTAACCCTAAAAATGAGGAGCAGGCTGTGGCCAGAGCTCATCGCATTGGTCAGACAAGAGAAGTCAAAGTTATCTACATGGAAGCTGTTGTTGATAAAATCTCTAGTCATCAGAAGGAGGATGAACTGAGGAGCGGAGGAACTGTTGACATGGAGGATGAACTTGCAGGTAAAGATCGCTACATAGGATCCATTGAAAGCCTCATAAGGAACAATATTCAGCAATATAAGATAGATATGGCTGATGAGGTTATTAATGCTGGACGCTTTGATCAAAGAACAACGCATGAAGAGAGGCGTTTGACTTTGGAGACTTTATTACATGACGAAGAAAGGTATCAAGAAACTGTCCATGATGTTCCCTCACTGCAGGAGGTAAATCGCATGATTGCTAGGAGTAAAGAGGAAGTTGAATTGTTTGATCAAATGGATGATGAACTGGATTGGATTGAGGAGATGACACGTTATGATCGTGTGCCCAAGTGGCTTCGAGCCAACACAAGAGAAGTAAATGCTGCTATTGCTGCTTTATCAAAAAGACCTTCAAAGAACACTTTATTGGGTAATGGTATTGGCACGGAAACAAGTGAAATTGGTTCTGAAAGAAAAAGGGGACGACCGAAGGGAAAAAAGCATCCCAGTTATAAAGAATTGGATGATGAAATTTTGGAATACTCTGAAGCAAGTTCCGAAGAAAGAAATGGATATGCACATGAAGAAGGGGAATTAGGAGAATTTGAAGATGATGGCTATAGTGGGGCTGATGGTGTGCAGACCATTGATAAAGATCAATTGGAAGATGGTCTGCTTTGTGATGCTGGATATGAATTTCCTCAATCTTTGGAAGGTGCTAGAAATAATCAAATGGTTGAAGAAGCTGGTTCCTCAGGATCATCCTTGGACAGTCAAAGATTGACACAGATAGTATCACCATCAGTTTCCTCTCAGAAATTTGGTTCCCTTTCAGCATTAGATGCTCGACCAGGTTCCATTTCAAAACGGATGGTATGTGGCTTTACTCATCATTTTATTTTATTTTTTGTTTTTGGGGGTTGTTTTACTCTTTCATTCCGATTAAATATCTTGTGATAATTTTTGACAGACAGATGAGTTAGAGGAAGGAGAAATTGCAGTATCCGGTGATTCTCACATGGACCGTCAACAATCTGGAAGTTGGATTCATGAGCGTGATGAAGGTGAGGATGAACAAGTTTTGCAGCAACCAAAGATTAAACGTAAACGCAGTCTTCGTGTTCGACCCCGTCATGCCACTGAAAGGCCTGAAGAAAAGTCTGGCAGTGATATGGCATCTCATGTGGCAATCCAAGCAGACCATAAATATCAAGTGCAACTGAGGACTGACCTAGAATCAAAATCATTTGGAGACTCAAATGCCAGCAGGCATGATCAAAACACATCATCATTAAAAAATAAGCGAACTTTACCTTCAAGGAAAGTAGCTAATACATCCAAATTACATGGTTCACCAAAGTCTAGTCGTTTGAATTGCATGTCTGTACCTTCTGAAGATGGCGGTGAACATTCCAGAGAAAATTGGGAAGGCAAACCTATCAATTCAAATGCATCTTCAGCTCATGGCACAAAAATGACTGAAATCATTCAGAGAAGGGTATGCATCTTTAATTGATTAATGTTGCATCTTTTCCGACGATGATAGTCTTCTGTTCTTCACTTTTCCTATGAACTGGGTCATACTGCTGCCATATAATGACAACAAGCTGAAGAAGTCCTTAATAATTTTTCTTAATTTACAACAGTAGCAAATAGTAATAATAATAATAGTAATAAAAAAAAGGTTGCCAATGAGGGTTTGTCACTGGTAGGATAGAGCTGCATCAGCCAAAAGGTCTTTGAGTTCAATTCTTACTGGCAGTCCTCATTGAGGCTTATGGAACACCCTTACCTTGGGATTGGGGCAACCTTCCCACCACCCTAAAAAATAATATAAGTTGCTTATATATCTTGTCCGAGGTTTCTTACCAACTAAAATCGTGAAGATATTTGATTCTGCTCATTTCTGTTTTTTACTAGATTTTTTGCAGGCTATATGAGCTTGTTCTAAATTTCCATGTTTGCTTATGTACCATAAGTATTATAACTCATGATTTCTGTACATGCAGTGCAAAAATGTAATTAGCAAGCTCCAAAGGAGAATAGACAAAGAAGGCCATCAAATTGTACCTTTGTTAACTGATTTGTGGAAGAGAATTGAGAATTCTGGATATAGTAGTGGATCTGGGAATAGCCTGTTAGATTTGCGAAAGATTGAGCTGCGGATTGATAAACTTGATTATAATGGCGTAATGGAGCTTGTATCTGATGTGCAGTTCATGTTGAAGAGTGCTATGCATTTTTATAGTTTTTCACATGAGGTGAGATTTCAAATCTGTTATCATTGTACAAAAATGATTTACTTTATTGCCTTTTTTTGGAAGGTGTAGCACTAACTCACCCTCAAGATGGAAATCAATCAGTATCCAAGAAACTACCTAGCATATTTATTTTTTATTTTTTAAGAAATCTAAATTTATGATGTCGAGTTACCGAGGACAAACACATTTGGATTTTTTTATGGAAACCAAAACACACTCTTTGTAGAATTGGCAACGTTTTTTGTAGCCTTATTTTTAGTTATGCATTACTTCCTATAATAACTATATTTTACTCTTGTTTTTTTTTTTTTTTTGTTTCAATAAACTCAGTGGAGCACTAAACCACTAACTTCTCCAATGGTTGTCAAATATTATCCTGAAGATTTATTGTTTATTTTTTGGTTGTGGTGAGCATATTCTGCTGGTTGAGTCAAAGTTCAAACAAAGAAAAAAATATGAAAATTATTTTTAATATACTCCAATCATTAATCAATTACTTCCTATCCTTGGCATTTCATGTTTTCTCCTTTCTAGGTATATATTATTTCCCTTAACTAAGATCAAGCTTCTGTTTCTGTATCGTTTGCCAACAGTCGTCAAAACAGTATTGCCATACGGATTTGTATGTCTTGACTCCTAACTATTTCAAATGATTGTGTTCTTATATTTTTTTAAGCAAGAGAAAAAATCTATTGAAATGAAAAACCCTGGTTCTGATTCTCAATCTCAATATGCTTCCCTTATACGTATAAAAATGAAAATTTGACAAGAATTATGTGTTGCACTTTGTACTCCTATTGTTTCCTCGTCTTTTACTGCCTATTGTTACAATATTACTGTTGACATAGATAATGTTACATGATCTCCACTGATTCCCTGTAGAATTTACTATATCAATTTTTTTTTGAATGTTCAAAAAGTATAATTTTTTTGCAGGTAAGAACTGAAGCAAGGAAGGTTCATGATCTCTTTTTTGACATCTTGAAAATTGCATTTCCTGATACCGACTTCCGAGAAGCAAGAAGTGCACTTTCTTTCTCCAGTCAAGCAGCTGCCAGTATGGTAACATCCCCAAGGCAAGGGGCTGTGGGCCAAAGCAAGAGGCACAGGCTGATAAATGAGGTGGAGACTGACTCATACCCTTCACAGAGGTCACTGCAACGCGGATCCGCTCCTGGCGGCGAAAGCAACAGGATTAGAGTCCATGGGCCACAACAGAAGGAATCAAGAACTGGAAGTGGTGGTGGCAGCTCAAGGGAGCAAGTGCAGCAAGATGATTCTCCACTTCTCACTCATCCAGGTGAACTGGTTGTATGCAAGAAGAGAAGAAATGACAGAGAGAAATTATTGGTGAAGCCTAGGACTGGTCCTGTTTCACCATCTGGCATGAGAAGTCCAGGTTCATGTTCACTCCCTAAGGATGCTAGATTAACTCAACAAGCTTCCCATGCACAAGGGTGGGTTGGCCAGCCATCTCAGCAACCAAATAGTTCTGGTGGATCAGTTGGTTGGGCAAACCCTGTAAAGAGGCTAAGAACAGATTCTGGGAAGAGAAGACCAAGCCATACATAAATTTTCTCAAGGACACTTGGAGGATGGTATATAATGGACATATGTTACTACTAGTTTCAGGATGAGTTTTAGTGGTCCCTTCATAGAGTTTACCCCCATATTTTTTATATAGAATTAGGCCTTAAAAGTGTATTTTATGGCTACCTAAATGGTTTAAATGCAAATTCTCCATATTTTTTTTTGGGATATCTGCTGCTTGCAGGAGTTGTTCTTTAGATAGCTGAAGATATTGTATAGTAACTCTCTTTGGTTCATGTTAGTCCATCAAAATTCCATCTCTTCTATAGGTCCTGTTTCCCCAACATTGTGGCAGCACTCCCTCCCTAAATGTTGCATAAAAGAGCTATGAACGTTTGTTTTGCGAGAAGAAAAGTGTTAATATTAGCTTTTGTGGATGATTTTAAGTATTTAATAACGAGTTTTTTTATTAACAATGAAAAATATTTATTATATTTTTAATGTAAGGAATATTTTTAATAAAAAAATTATCAATTTTATATGTTTAAAATCAATTTTAAGAGTTGATGATAATAAAACTGAGTAATGTTATAAAAAGCTAAAATTGTTATTTGGGTAATTATTATGGGTAATGTGCATTTTGGAAAGTACATATTGATTGCTATTACTATGGGAAAAATACAGGCATCAAATGCAACGAGTTCTATAATGGCTTATTTTAACATAATATCTGCCCATTAACCTTACCATTTTCGTCTTCGAAGATGAAGACTAGAAATCAAGTGGTCATTAACTCAAAAGTGATAACAAAAATAGAAAGGCAATATTTTAAGAATTTAATATAAGATTTAGTTGTCCAAAAAGTACGCAATTCAAGTATGTTGGTCCCAATGGATTACTTGCGAATCAAAAGTACAAAGGTGGCAAATGATGTGTTGGAAAGCATGTGGCTGCTATTACTTTTCTTCCATTTCAAGCACCTGTTTTTCATTTATTTCCTTTCTCCCAAAGACATTTCACAAAAAAAAAAAAAAACAAAAAAAGGTATCTGGACACAATGTAAAAGTGAATTTCCCCTATTGTTCCATCACAATCACTAATCAAAAGACTTTTTCAAATAAAATAAAAATATATAGCATGTTGTTTTTAGACCATTAAAATTATAATTATAATATAGCCTCTGTACAAACATTTTATTATACTTTAGTCTTATAGCATGTTGTTTCTACACCATTAAAATTAAAATATATATTTAGTCTACATAAATATTTTAATTTTGATACAAATATTTTACTATACTTTAATTATCATTGTAACTTGTCTGTGTATAGATTGATAGATAATAAATAAAGAAATCAAATTAATATGATATTAGGTGAAGGTAAATCACTTTGTCTCAATCCTAACTTTGGGTAGAGTACTTGTTTGGTCTCCATTGATTAAACTAAGGATGATTCACAATTCATGCTTGGGTTTACCCACATTACAGGAAATCCCATGTATGATGAAATCACGATTTAAAAGAAAAGTTATTTCACCATATTATAACTCTCTCTCTTTCTAGGCCAACGTAGCATAACCCTTCCCAATAATGTCTTTGGCTATTACCACTTTATATGTAATCATAATCAATCAATCAACCTATTTGACACATTAAAAATAACACATCAACTCGTAATTAAGCCGCAATTAATTTCTGTAATCAGTTTAAAAATCACATCACAAAGGTTTATATATGAACCTCAAATAAAAATATCTTCTCTATGTCATCATGACTCCATTATCATCAACTGCATAGTGTTTCGTTGTTTTCTTTGTCATTGTTATGCATTTTCATGGAAAGATCACTTTCATCCCCGGGAATAAAGGATTTAGATTCCCTCACATCGATATTGTTGGAAAGAGATAGAAGCGTTTATTTTGCATACTCACCAATATGAATTATAAAGTTCTCTAGTTATATTTGAACTCGTTTGTGTTTTTAATATAAAACAATTTGGGGTTTTTCAATAATGCAAGACTATTCATATTCTGTTTCAATCCATCTCTAACACCACATATTGCTCCCTAGTTATCAATTCAAAGATCAGATTTGTGTTATCTCTGTCACTTCAAGAAAATCTTACAACTATATATAAATTTCGAAGAAGCTAACTCATCATATATATATATATATATATATATTTTATCAATATAAGGAAAATTAGATATTTCTATCTTTTCTTGTTCTTGAGTAATAAGATGGGATTGTTTTTTTAATAATATAAAAAATTAATTTCTTTACCAATTCATATAATTTTGCTACACTAATTCTTACTTAACTCTTTGACTGATTTACTACTTCACTAGTTTTTTTAGTTGTCTGAATAACTCTTTGACTGTGTCCAACAAGTTAAGTTGACCAATTTAGTTCAATTTTAATAAACAAATGAAAAATTCAGTGCTTTTAAAAAATAACGGTATGTTATATTAGATGATGTGTGACCAAATAAAACTTATCTCACAATTAGCAAAAAAAAAAAAAAAAAAAAAAACTTATCTCACAAAAAATTTAGATGAGTTGAATTATGATTTAAAAATAAAATTATTTTATTACTCCAAAGTGAGATTTTTTCTATTTATACTTACAAAAGAATTCAACAAAATATATTGCCTTAAGTTTTTTATTCTTAAAATATTCATGATTTTCTTTTTGGTTCCTCATCTTAGAATTTGTTAAACAAGCCTTTCATTATATATACATACATACATAAATATATATATATATATATATATATATATATATATTATTGAATGGTTCCTTATGATTCTTGTATCGTATTTGATTTATTTGCATTTTTTTCATCTCTTTAAATATCAAATCCAAATAAAAAAAATCATGATATTTAAAGAAACTAAATTAGAAGAATTAATGAAAGGGATCATCTAATACCAACTTTTTTTTTCATAAAAGCCTCGTTTAAAAAAATTTAAAATAAATGTCCAAATAAAAAAAAGGCAGAAGTTTTTAAATGATCAAAAGCTTAATTAAGTCAATATATTTGAAGTAACATCACGGTTGGTAAGAAACGGAGGTGGGAATAAAATTGAATTAAAAAGCATGTTGTTAGTATTGAAAAAGAAATGTCCATTATCATGAAAAAGTGCCCATTCCTTCAAAAATGAAAGGAATTGATTCCACTACATATGGTGATCTTAATTACTATTAGTATGGTTTAAATAGCATCTTTTTAACTTTCCATTCTAGCTATTTAAAAAAAATCTTTCCTTTCTTGCCTTAATTCTAGGAACATAGTGTGGAAAAGAATATTCATAGCATTACTTAATTGTCCCCAACCACAAAAGAATAATTTCGTGCCCATTTTCATTCTCTATTCTTTCAAAAGTCAATCCAACAAACCAATGGTAACCTTTAGCTTTTGAAGAAGTCCCCCATTACGGAGAATGATCAATAAATTGGTTTTGCATCTCCTTAAAGACTGAATTTAAATACGTAGTTATAGTTGAATTTCATTAAAAATAAAATAAATTATTTATTATAGTTTTATATTTCTAATACAATAAATATTTTATTTTAAAATTTTTTTACTACTTTTAGATGTATAAATTTAATCTTTAAAGCTAATATTAATAAAATCATAAAATATAGCTTAATTAAATATGTATTCAATAAATTCTCATTTCATAGACTTATCATACATTTAACCATATATTTTTTAAAAAAACTTTCTCTTTTTGAGAAGCTGACATGAGAATTATAAGTTATTTTCATAAATTTCTCGCAAGTTTTTCTAAAGAGACCCAAAATCTTTAATTTAAACCAAATCCATGAACTATTTATTTATCCTAATTTTTAACAGAAACCCACCTGGTCAAGGAGAAAAACAAAGGGAGTCTTTGCAAAAAATAAAAACACATTTATCTGAGTTCCATTCTAATGGATTTTACTTCTCTAAAATAATGAAACTTGTAAAGTGAAAAAATAAAACTATATACACTGTTGTTCATTTCAAATCAACGGTGGATAATCCTTCCATTAGAACATATTAACATAGGATGCTGACAACTTGATTCAGGCACTTGAATGAGATTAAGAAGAAATAGTATTGCATTAGGAAATCAATGGTCCATTATTTACAGTGACAGAGTAAACTAACAGGAAGGGGAATTTTCCCCCTACCAACAACCAAGTGCATTACATTTAATGAGGTGAATTAACATAACTAGAACATAATGTACAGATATGATAGAGAGAACAGGAACATGCATACAAGGCTAGGGATCAGCCTTACCAGCAACCTGTTCATCACTAGAATCATATTCATCTTCAGTTAGCTCATCATCACTGGATTTCTCTTCTGTGGCAACTCCTATGTCTTCAGGCTTAGCATACTTCTCACAGTACTCTGAAAATTGAAGTCAAAGACTCATTGGTAAATGTCACATTACATCAAAGAACCAGAAAATTATACAGAAATTGGTTCTCACAAGAACTTAAGCTTAGATAAACCAGTCAAAGTAATACATTATTACCTTCTACGAATTAGTGTTCATAGAAGTCAACAAAAGACAGGTGATTTGAAATTCCCATATCTGTTTTTCTGTGAATGATATTATCAAAAAGATCTCATAATAAATAGTATCTCTGAAAATTTGGTTTTTTAACAAATCCAATGGTGTTGTGAAATCTTATAGTGTGATAAAGCTTTGTTGTTATTTTTGTGTGAATGATACATTTAGCACCATAGCAGGAAGTATATGACTGCTGTTATAGATACTTAACATAGTATAGAAGAATGACTATCAATGAAGAAATAAAACCCTTACCTATGGTTAAGGTATGATGTTGAGTGAACAATTGGTAGAAGTGGATAACAGACATTTGAGTTTTGACATTGTTAACATTACATTCAACTAAAGCCACAGATTGATATAGGTGAGACTTGCAGAAAAAAATGATGCAGGGATAAAATGATGGCACCTTATAATTAAATCTTGAGTTGCAAATTATCTCCATCAGCAAACTGAATGGATGATTCATTACCTTAGTGATTAACAATAATAAACAGCTAGGTGGCCTCCTAGCCAGGTTAGAAAACAGGTATATAAATGGATGAAGATAATGTCTCCTTTTTCACAGGTAAAATTTGACATCTAAGATCATCTTCTGCAAGTATAAACCCATAGGCAACCTAGATACAGTAATATGGCTCATTTTTCAGTTTAGGATTTGATGGCATCATAGGAGGCAGTCATAAAATAGTGGTAGAGATGGGGCTAAAATCAAGTCTGTTGAGAAATGACAGCTTTAGATTGTCAAGTTTATGATGCAGTCCATAGAAGAAAAGCAGCAGCAATACCTTTTCCTGGTAGTAATTGGATAATTAACAATAGTGGATGAAGAAGTATCAATAAATTGTTATAACTGTTTGCGATAGTGTAGGTGAATTTGCATCGTAATTCATATAGTACCCGGAGGACTACAAAGTTTGTTCAAGCACCCCTCTTGGTTTAGAGTTTAATTGTAGCTCAAATATGGAAGAACAAAAGAAAAACATCTGATAAAGGGACAAGTTCATATCACCTAATACAGACACGTATGTTCAGAGAATGAAATTTTAAAATTTTGATCAATACCTTTAACCCTTTGTTCATAAGTGGCTCGATCACGCATCATTAAAGCTGCAGCTTCTCCATTCAAGGGGTCTGATGGATTTGGATACAGAAGAAGTTGAGGTAGAAACACCTCAAATACATTGACAAGATCTGAAAGAATTCAGGCTTAGACATATGACAATGAGCCAAAAATTATAAAATGGAAAACTTGAATTAAAAACCAAATAGTTTCTAAGAAGGTTTAAAGAAATATCATTACCAAACATGGGGCTCCAGGTTTGATTGATAACATCAAGACAAACTGATCCTGACCTGAAATTATGTTATCCAACATTATTGATCATACACTTCAGTATTTTTAAAATTAACACACCAAAAAATACTAAACATAGGCAATTTCAGAACACTAGTACAAGATTCTTACAACTCATCAACATTTGGGTGATAGATCTTATTGACAAAGCCAATGGAAGGAGATTTATAAGGATAAGCATCTGGCAGCTCAACTCTTACTTTCCACACACCTCCATGATAAGGACCTGCAAAGAGCAATCAAAGGATGAAAAAGAAGATTCAAAAAGGAAAACCATAACACAGTAAAAGCACCTTTCCCAAACAATCTATCTCACCTTAACATCTAGAACCAGGGACAAAACAATAAACAAGAGTGAAAATCAGCAAATATCAAGGTAAAATAAAATCCCCATAACAAGAAACCAACCATTAACAAAAAAAAAAACTCATGCCAATCTTTTCTGGCTAAACATTAGTGTCATATATAAAAAAGGGAAATCAATAAGAAAACAAACAGAAATTGATTTATACAATAACTCTGCAGGATGCCCGGAGCAATCAATACAAGGAACAAAACAATAATTAATGTAAGTATCACCCAAATCTAAATCTAGAGCCGCCAAAGTCAATAAATGGTTAGATATCAAATACCCATAATAGCAAACCATCTTTATCACCCAAAAAATTAAAAAAAGACACCAAAGCAAGTAAAACAGGTAGAGGAAAGGAAAATATACTCTCATTGGGTCCATGGAAATGCACATAAAACTCTTGCATTCCATCATTAATCATCTCCACCTTGTAGTCACTCATCATCCTATTAATTAAAAAAATAAAAATAAAAAACCCAAAATCAAAAGCAGAATCCGAAGTCAAACTAACACCCAATCAGAAAAAAAGCTTAAAACTTGAATGAAAATAAATTGAAAGAAAGAAGTTGAGGATTAACAATTTCATCAAGTCCATCTCTCGACGCTTGCTTGGAGAAGACATCTTTTGTTTGTTTTTTTGTTCTTCTGTCTGTGATGCTTCCTTTTCCTAGTTCCTTGCTTTTCAGGAATAGAGAGAGAGAGAGAGAGAGAGATTTGGAGAAGAGAAAGAAGAGGTTTGTGGGAGACCTTTGCTTGTGCAACTGAAAGAAGTAAAATTGGTTCAGACAGCAATCAGCAAAACTAGGAGTAACATAATGAAGGGAATAATTCTTAATTCTCTCCACTTTTTTTTTCTTAATTACTACTTTTTACGATAAACAAATAGATAATTTATTAAAAATAATTATTTATCATAATGTATTTTAAACATGCTCATAATAATAAAATATTAAAATGGTAATTCATATATTAAACAAATAAATATATTAATTGAATATATATTTTGATAATTCAAATTTTATAATAAAAAATAGAATAAAATTGAATAGCTAATATATTCTAAAAATTAAATATTTATTTTTATAAATAAAATATTAAATATATTTATATTTTTAAGATTATAATATATATATATATATATATATATATATATATATATTAAAGAACTGTTAAGAAGATATAATTAATTTGATAATAAAAATCTTGTTAATCAACGTTTTTAAGATGTTGGTTAGGAAATACATAGTAAAATTTTTAAAATTATGATAAATTGTAATGGAAACAATGAAAGAGAAGTACATTAATAATATTTTTTGAAATTTGTTATTACCTTTAATATTTGTATAATAATTATTATTATAAAGAGAGGAGGGAAAAAATGATAACAAGTCCTGTAATTTAAGATAATTTTTTTTATTAAAAGTTATAATACTACACGCGTTCAGTAATTTTTAATGTGATCTTAATGTTATTTTTAATAAAAAATAATTGTTGATTCTGTTCTTACAATAATGATTAACAAGACTCTAATAATAGTAGTTCTTTCATATTTTTTGTTATAATTATAAAAAATAAAAATATTTTTAAATATAATAATTGTTAATTTCTTTTTGTTAATAGGTGCTTATCATTACCTTTTCTGAAACATTATACATATTTTTAAAATATAATATACATTTAAAACAGATAACTTGTTTTTATTGATATTAATAATTCATTTATTTTATAATAATAATAATAATAATAGACGACTGAAAATTATATTTATAATAGCAACTTTTTTACGTAAACAAAGAATAAATAATGAGAATCTCTATATAATATTAAAAATTATATATATATAATAAAACCATTCCAGGCCATAGCAATATTTTATTGCCTTATTTTACATGACTTCCAGTTCCTTCCAAGATTCCTCTCGGCTAATTCCCATGTTGCCCCTTTGCATTTCACTGTCAAGGTAAAAGTTTAAACTTCTATTTCAGGTTTAATATATTTTTAAAAATATTAATAAATATTTTTAAAATATTATAAAATATAACATTTAAAATTATTACTTTATTATTGTCATAATTAATAATTTTTTAATAATAATATTTTATAGTAACTTGCCATTCAGTATTTTTAAAAGTATGTGCTGGTAGCTAGGAATAAAATAAAACAAGACACGTTTTGGTACATTTGGTTCTGTTCCCACGTCATACAATCCTTAATTAATGTCACATGTGTAAATGAATCATTAAAATTCATTTACTTAGGTTTTTATAATCTTGTGAAATAAATTAATGTACCAACGCTAAACACATTATTAGGGTACGGTCTTGATTGTTTTTATTCTTTTAAGTAAAATTGTGTCAGAACATTATCCACATCTCAAATGATTTTGGAGTAGATTTCTTAACGTGAATAATATAATTTTAAAAATAATTATTTAAAAAGTATTTGTATGACTGTTAATGAAAGTAGATATTGTTTCGCTGGATGTTTTTTTATTGATGAAAAACTAAGTATGAGTTTGTATAGTGTTATTGTAAAAAGTACTCAGTATTTAAGTCAGTAAAACTTTGTTTTGCAGTTAAAAAGTTTATATAAATATAATGTACTCAATGTTTGAGAATCATTTTCTTTATATGCACTGATTTATCCTTTGGTTTAAGTTGTTATCATTGTAATGATGTCAGCTGTTAGGTTAATATGGCATAACAAAGGTTTGTACAGTGTAATTTAATGTTTATAGTAAATTTTAGCTTGTTTAATCTTCAAATCAAGTTGAGTTTTGATTGATGAGGAATCCTTAGGTGTGATTAAAGTGTTTGTTGCTTGAGGTAGGATTGATCGTGATCACCTATTAGTAGTAGGTTTACTAAAATCTGTTTACCAAGGTTTGTTTTGACTCTATCCAAAGTAGCTAAATATAGTCTTGGAACAAATGCCCTAGACACATTGTTGTGAAGTGACAAGGTCAAGTTTGATTATTTGGTGAGATAATAAGACTAGAATGATTGTTACACAAGGAGTTATGCTTGGAAATGGAGGATGGTTAACGTTTTGTTGAACAGTTAGGTAGTACAATTAGTGGGGATTAAAATTTTGAAGAATTATTAGAATAATATTGACTTTTAACTCATGATCATAGGTTCATTCTAGTGAATGTCTTCTTCTGGTGAAGATGTAGTTTTGGATATGATGTGATGTTTTTTTAGAAAACACTCAGTTAAAATGTAAAATTAGAGGGCTTTAATAAGCATAGAAAATATAATATACATGAGGCCTAAGATTCATTTATTTTAAATAAGCATTAATTTATCTTTTGAGTGGAATTTTAATCATTTTGGTAACATGAGTTGTTGGGTCAATATTGCAGAACATTAAACTTGTTAAGGGTGATTTAATGTTTATAATAGATTTTGAACAATTCTAACTTTCTAATTTTATAATTGCATCTTTTGATTATTAAAAGTTTAAGTGTACAAATTTTTATTTAATAAAATAAGCACTTATTTTTATTGGAGATCATTTATCATAGTTTAAAGTGTTTGTTATCTAAGTAATCTAATCACACACTAACGTGATTTCCTATTAAATTGACTGATTTCAATTATACAAATATTAGATTGGTGAAGGTTAACCACAGCCCCCTTCTTAACTGGTAGTATAATATTACTTGTTATTATTATGAAATAATACTATTTAAAAATTAAAATAAGTAAATTCAACACCATTTTTATAATAACTAACACCTATTACTTTTGTCAAATGTACAGTCCCAACATTGTAAAATCGTTCACTTTAATAAAAACAAAATTAAATAACCTAATTTAGTAAAATGTTTTTAAAATTATATTGTTGTAAACCAATGTTAAAAGTGATTTATGTACCTTTCCTTATTAGCTTATGTTTCTAAAATGATTGACTTATGAGGCTGTTAAATTATCTTCATACCTTATCCTAAATGGTAATAACAGTGTCATTATTTACTTTTGGCATACACAGCACTGAGAACAGCACAAGTCCATCTGTCCATAGTCCTAACTTTTCTGGACGGTGGGGTTTTCTTTTGATATGATAATAAAGGCGTGTAAAAGTGAAACTCAGGTTCATTCCATTTCTTGGACAATGGATAGATACAAATTTGAATCACAAAACAAGTGGGTGTCATAATTTGATGGACCGATACAAGTACAATTTATTATTTATTAGTAATTTGCTTTCCGACATTGGGAAATCAGAATAAAGTAATGGTGGGTGATGATGGGCTGTTGTTAAGATCATCTCACTCAACAAAAGGATCCTCCATCTAGAGATGGAAATTTGGTTCCTTTAATGTTACCAATACGACAAATGAGAGATTCAAATATGAATATAAAATTAAATGATCTTATGAATATATTATAACTTACACATTCAAGTTTTATTATAATTATTTTTATGTCTTGTTTTTATTATTATACAATATAAATGAACATTAAAGTTATGAATTTGTACGAAATGGTAAAAATTCAATGTTGAAAATCGGGTGCACCATCTAAACTCTATCTCAACACTTACAAATATGAATAATAACTTTTAAAAATAATGATAGCTGCATTATTGGTTCAGTTAGCTGACTCAATCAATTTAAATTGTGTCTATATTAATTAATTAGAAGGGGATAAATTCACGTAATTTGAAAGTAATTATGAAATGCCTATAACATATTTGGTTCACGAAAAGTCATATGATTATTAAATAAATAAGGTAATTTGGCATCTCACTTTATTTATCTCCTTTGTTTTTAAGAATTGTTTTAATCCTTCAAGAACATGAAATCTTCTATTGAAATTACAATATCTAGCCAGCATTATTATATTTTATGTTAAATTTTTTAAGAAAATAAAGATAAAGTACTAGAATTAGAATGTTTATCGTCAAGTGAATAAATGTTATAAGAAAAATTACTAAAGAATACGAATGAGGATAAATGATAAGTGAGGAAAAATCTATACACTAATATCAGTTGCGATTTTTTAAATCCTTGAATTCCTTTTTTTTATTTTATTATTTAACCATTTAGATAAAAACATGTGACTTCGTCAAAAAAATTATAATATAACTTACTATTATGATTTCGCCACTCTCACATTATAAAACAATTGAAATTATGTTCTCGATTCTATTTCCTGTACTTACTTTCAATCCAAACCACTCAAACCTTTCTCCTTTTCTTTTGCCAAGCCACATTGTTGCATTCCTTTAACCTTAAGAATATCAAGTTTTCGCATGTCAATGTGCATGGAAAGACACAAAAATTAGCTATTTTACAATCCCTTTCTCAAAGTTTTCTTCACCTTAAAACCAATACTATTTCACAATAATATATATGATAAATTTAAACTCTATTTGATGGTTGTTTCATAACTAATAATATTTTAAAGATTGAGTTTATAAACTTATAAAGCGCATAAAAATGAAAACTTATAACACTCTACTTGTAAATGTAAGCTAGATAAATGTAATGAGTATTTTACTAAAGAATGAGTTAGCTTTCATCTCTCGACATGACTCCTTGTAAGGTATTGATTGGTCTATCAAGATACTAGCTATTCGAGTAAAACGTATTTAAAAGTTCTCTGTGCTAAACATCACCATGTAAGTTTCCGTTTGTTAGAGTACTCTTTTAATTTCATTCGAGTATCATTTTTTTCTTGTAAATACCAAAGAACACTTGTCCAAATACATTTCTTTATACTTTATTACATTCATAAATTATGAAGTCATTTTGTCCTTTACCCTTGTTTCGTACTAGGGTTAATGAACTTAGGAAGCGT